AACTGCCAGCCCGCCCCATTGCTTTCACAGCTTCGCCAGTGCTGCCTCTCTGCCCACCCCTGTGATCTCTGCTGCAGAGTTTCTTTGGGTTTCCTTCCCCATTCTGTTACAGAGCAGCTAGATTCAGTAGACTTCTGAACACAGGGGATTTCTCCTTTCAGGTCTGCTAGAGCTGAATCCAGTGGACTCTCGCTCCCAGGAGGCTTCTCCCAGCCCAGCCTTGTGGCTGCTGCTGTCCTCACGTGTGTGTGTGTGTTCAGAAGACTTATGGTGCATTCCAAAGAGCCAGATGCAGACACACACACACAGATTTACACCAATAATGCAACCGGCAAAACAGATTGACATAGACAGAGTAACGCCTTTACCGGCACCCAGGTCTTTGTAACCACCACTTACATAAATGTGAACACAGGCCGCTCCTTTTCTGCCTTTCCATATGATCAGGACTGGATGTTTGCTAGTGAACCACAACTTCATTCCCTAGATTCATAAGCACAGCGTGTGCATGGATTCCTCAAGCAACACTCTGGAAATCGAGTCCATGTAATATCTGTGGCTGGATGTCAAGCTCCTTAGCCAGTCATTGGTGCAAACGTTGGGTCTTTCTAGATCTCCTGTGTCATGAGAGAGTCCAGTTTGAAGTTGTCGTGGTTTAGGCCTGATTGACAGCCAACCACAATGCAGCACCTCTCTCTCCCTTCCCCTCCGGCAATGAGAAGGGACAGAGAGCCAGGCTTGGGGTTCAAGATAGGACTGGGATGGGGGAAAATCCCCCTTTTATGATCATGAGCAAAAGGCAGACTCGTTAGGGGAAGAAAAAAAAGAACATACATTTATTACAGACACTAACAACACATAACAGAGTAGGACAGTGAGAAGCATTGCCACATCTTGAGAACACTTTCCCCCCACCCCTCCCTTCTTCCCGGGCTCAGTTCTGCTCCCGATATCTCTACCTCCTCCCCCAGTGGCGCAGGGGCAGGGAATGGGGGGTGCAGGCAGTGCTGCCACTTCCTTCATCTTCGGTGAGGGGAGTGTCCAAAACTTGTTACCCCCTGCTCCATCGTGGTCCCCCTCTCACAGGAGACAGTCCTCCACAAACTTTCTCTGACTTGAATTCCTCCCATGGGCCGCAGCGTTCCCCACACTGCTCCATCACGGGTCACTAACTTCCTCCGACTGGATTCTCTCCCACGGCTGCAGCCCTTCCCGAGCTGCTGCGGCGTGGGACTCCCCCACATGCTGCAATCCTCCCAGCACTGAATTACAGCAGTGGGGCTACCTTTTTCCATGAGATCCCGGCCTTCTTCGGGCACAGAACCTTGATCAGCTGAGCAGGAACAACAGGCTGTAAATCAATGTCTGCTCCACCGTAGATCTTCATGGGTGGCGGGGGGGGCCGCCCTGCCGTCTCCCCACAGGATACAGGGGGGTCTCTGCTCCGGCACACCTCCCCCCTCCTTTCTTCCTCCGTTCCTCCACTGACCTTGTTGTTCATGCAGCTGCAGCAACTCCTCCTCACAAGTCCGACTGCCCGTCACCACATCCCTTCTTCAATACGTTATCGCAGAGGCGCAGCCGATTGGCTCAATTTCCCAAACAGAAGTGGAGCTGACGTGGAGCTGGGGGAGCTTCGATGAAGTTCACTGGTGCATTGTACACACACACACAGGGATCCCCCCAGTAGCCGGCCAAAGACACTTTGTGTTTCCAACTGCTGTCCCAAGACCTCTTGCCCCCTATCACCCATGTTCCTTTCTTACACTGAACCATCCCCCTCCTCTGTGGCCAGACAGGGATTCAGGCCTTTTGAGCAACTCTTCCCTTTGTGCCCCACTTAGCTGCCTGCAGCCTCATTTGGCAGGGACCAGCCAGCCATGGAAGTCCTTGCTTTGCACAGGTGACTGAATTGCACTGGAGCATGGTTAGCTGTGAAAACTGTTAACTTTATTTCAAGAACTAAGGCAACTTAAGCATTTGTGTGTACTCTAGCATTTGTGAGCAGGGACAGGACAGAAGAGGCCTTTGACACTGAGGCTGCCATCGGATCAGCAGGCATTGCCCCAGAAGGGAATGGTCATGGTACACTGCAGCCTGCACTGGATCCCATTCATCTGGCTACTCAAGCCTTTTTTCCTCTTAGGACCTGCAGGAGCTCCTGCAGCAGATTAAAGAATTCCACCAGCTTCTGGCGTGGAAATAGACAGGATGTAAAGCCGCTCTCTTGCGTTGGTACGGGACTTGGCTTCTGAAAGGGGGTTGAAGTGAAAACTGGCTGTGGTGTGAAGACTGGCTGTGGTGTTGGAGCAGCCGTTAGTGCTGGGTGCAGCCCCATCTGTACCAAGATCCAGTCGTAAAAGTGCTGAGTGGAGGTGTAGACTCCGGGCCGTCTTGCTCTTGCACAGCCTTTCCCCCAGCTGGTGACTCCAACTAGCCAGAAGTAGTCAGCACTGGTATCTTTGCAAACAAGAGGACCACCACTGTCGCCCTGCAGTGGAGACCAGAGGATTAAGGCGATGTTGGGTGGCCAGTGGCAACACAGGGGCTGGCTCCTCCTCTGTCACAGCACATGCCGGAGTCTGGGCAGTGGTGACAGGGCTGTCTGTGCTGCTGGGGACAAGCCATCGCACGCTCCTACCTGGCAGGTGTCAATGCCGCCCTGCGGATAGCCAGCACACAGGTTGTGGGGGTGGACGGCCCCACTGTACCACCGGGTGCTGTTACAGAGTTTGACGTCGATGAGCCGGACCTTGGCCTCCTGCAGGACATCAGTTGGTCTTCCAGCTGTGAGCACAGAAAGGAATGAACACCCAGCAGCTCGTTGCCAGTTCTCCTCCCTTGCCTGGGTGAACCTCCCTTTTCCCTAGGGCTCGGCTTTGCATCATGACAGGCATTGTACCAGTGTTTCATTTCTGTCTTGCTTTGGGTAGCGTGCCAGGCCCATCTCTCTACAGGCATATGTCCCTGCAGTCTGACCCTGGCTCTCGCCTCTGCTGTCAGGAAGCCCAGCCCATCTCCCCCAACGTGCCAGGCTTGCACTCGGGACCCGAGCACTTTTTGGGAACTCACATCTTGCAGCTGTGGACCCCCAACCGCTGACGTAGCAGTTTTTCAGCTCTGACACTCTCAGCGAGGCGTCAGGCACGCAGGCAAGCTGTATGGAGTAGCTGCACTGGACAGGCTGGTCCAATTCCAGCAAGGCAATGTCATTCTCCTCTGTGATACTAGTGTAGTGCTCGTGAGCCAGTAGCCGCTTAATATGGCGCACTTGGGTGTCAGGGCCCAGCTGAGACAAATGGGTGGCTCCGATCACCACGCGCCACATGGTGATGTACCTGGAAGGCAGATCGAGAGAGGGATCAAAGGGAGTGGAGCCATGCACCCAGCAGCCCAGCAGTTCTCTGCTTTCTGCTTGGCAAGGGAGAGGGGAAAGCAGCACTGTGGAGGGTGCAAGTGCCCTAGCATGCCTCTGGCTGGAGGCATGTCAAGCTGGAGGCTGCTAGGAAGCAGTGGCACGAGCCCAGCCTTCTCCTGAGCAGTCTCCGAGCGGGGCTCTGCAGTGCCCAGGCACTGGGCATACTGCAAGGGAACGGTATGGGAGCAGCACACGGTGTCGCAGACAGGGCATCTGCAAGTGCCGTGGGGATATCCCCGTTCCCTGGTCCTCCTTACCTGGCCTCGACGAAGCAGTGGGCTGCTGTGAGGACCCACTGTGGGCTGATGAGGGACCCTCCACATATATGTCCTGTGCCTATCGCCCAGGGATCCTGGATGCTGACAATCCAGGGCCAGGAGCCTGGCTGGGCGTCTGTGCCACCGACGACGCGCGACGTGCCGTGCTGAGAAGCCGTGGGCCGGAGCCCGCAGGTCCCTCTGTAATCAGAAACTCGTTACCATCCTGCTCTGTGGCTTGCTGATGTGCAGGCTGAAGCTCAGCCATCTTCCCTCCCCACAAGGCCCGGAGAGCATGGCCAGGGAACCCTCTTGGGGGGGCGCATCCATCTGAGCCTGTTTCTGCGTTAGCCCTGAGGATGGGCCGTGCCAGCAGCCTGGGTGCTGCAAGGAACTGAGGCTCCCACGTGGGGGAAGCTGCGGGGACAAGGGGACAAGCGGGCACCCTCCGGTGAATCCCATAAGGGTTGCCCGAGCTCCCTCCCAGAGCCTCGAGCCACTCACCCACAGCTGTCCCGTGTGCTGCCTGCAGCCCAGCACGTGGCCAGCAGGACGAGGAAAGGAAGCGAATGCATCACTGCAGCTGCAAGACCGGAGGGCTCCTCACCACCAGCGCAGCAGCCGACACAGTGCCCGCAGTGCTCCTGTTGCCCGCGGTGCCCTCGGCAACGGGGCTGATGTCACAGAGTCACTGGTTCCAGGTGCTGGGCACGGTGGCCTCTCCTGGGGGGGGGTGCAACGTAAGGGGGGGTTCCAAGCAGGAGGGGAGGCAGAAGCTGGGGTTGGACACCCCCAAGAGACTCCCGCTGAACGCTCTGCCTGCGGGATGAGGGGGTGTGGGCCCCATGGCAGGTGTTAAAGGAGACTCGAACTCCGTCGTGGGTTACTCTAGGATTTTATTCAGGTCCAGCAGCGTTGGGTCACCTCCGCAGAGAGTGACAGCTTACATGAGTTCGCATACATGTATTTATGCACCTACAGAGCATTACCTAATCCAAAATACACAGAATTATACTTGATCAGTCATTCTTATCTTGACAGCGGGTTCCACATCTTGTTCTGGAGTCCGACTACTTCGTTGTTTTGTTTCTTCTTTCTTTTAGTCTTCAAGGACGATTACCTCAAGTTCTGTACGTCTCAGTTCTTAGTAGCCACAATGATAGATCTCCCATCGCTTCGGTAGCTAAGGGTCAGTTTCTCATACATCAACATCCTTTGAACTGTCAGGCCCATCATTACCTTTGTTACAACATTTTATTGATGCTCTATTCAGTTGACTGTGCTTGCAGCCCTGGGCTGGGGCTATACAGGGGACAGAGCTGATAGAACAGCTTGTGCAGCAGCACTGCATTGCAACATTTTCCCAACAGTCCCCCCTTTTCTTTTAGGATACTCGCTATCCTATCGGATACAATAGGATCTGGTGGGAATTCGAGATAAACACGAGACACAACACTGACACACAAACATTACCATGATCCAAATGATTATGACTAAAACAACTACCATTAGAATCTTCTTGATTAAAGTTGGAAAATCAGGAATCCAGGAAGTAGCCCATTGCCATAAATCACTAACACCCCATGATACATTGTCTCGTTGCACAATTTGCATCATATGGCTTACTTCCCATTTTGGCAACATCTTATTCTTTCGTTTAAATGTTTTTACCAGCAAGCACTTCATCTCCCACCTTAGAATCATGAACCTGTACTTCTGGTGTCGCACCTTGGTACCAATATGCATATTTTCTAATTTTCTGAAAGGAATCTTGTAAATATAATAAATCTTGAGTGACATTCTCCTCTCCATCCAGTAGTGCAGTTTTTGCTGAAATATGCAAACCAGGTACAGCTAAAATTCGTCCAGATAGGACCTCTGCTGGACTAATTCCTAACGGCTGCTTTGGAGTAGTTCTAAGATCCCATCAAACTAAATTTAATGCCTCTGGCCACTTTAATCCAGTTTCACTGCATACTTTCGCTAACTTCTCCTTAATTGTTCTATTCATTCTTTCTACTTGCCCTGATGAAGGTGGGTGATACGGAGTATGAAACTGTCCTTTGATGTCTAGGGTTACATAAACTTGTAATAAAATAGCTGCTGTAAAATGCGGTCCACGGTCAGAGTCTATCACCTCAGGCACGCCATATCGAGGAACGATTTCCTTAAGCAAGATTTTTACAACTATTTTTGAATCGTTCTTCCGGGTCGGGAAAGCTTCTACCCACCCAGAGAGTTGATCTACTATTACCAGCAAATATTTATACCGGAGAGCGGCTGGCATTTCCGCAAAATCAATCTGAAGTTTCTGAAAAGGACAGACTGCTGGCGGCCTCTTCCCTGGCGTTACTTTTGGCCTTATATCTCCATATCTCTTACACGAAGAACATCCTTCAGTCAGTTTCTTAGCTGCTGAAGAGATTCCTGGTGCTGCCCATAGCTGGGTTACCTTTGAGGCTACTGCTTCGGGACCTCCATGCCCCTTCTCATGGTACCAACGGGCAAGTGGCAGTACATACCTTCTGGGCAATAGAGGTTTACCATTCAGGGTCCAGATCCCTTTATCTTGCACAGCTTGCATCTTCTTCCATTCTTCCATTTCGGTGGTCGGGACATCATGATAAAGGGTATCAGGGTTTGGGATAGAAAAGAAATTAGCAACCACAACTTCAGTCGTGGGGTAATTTTTAGGAGCGGCGGCTCGTGCTGCGGCATCTGCAAGAACATTACCTGTCGCAAGCTGATCGGTGCGCTTCGTATGAGCAGGTATATAAATTACCGCAACTTCCTTTGGCTCTTGTATTGCCAACAACAAGTCATTAATCAAAGACCCATGTGCAATGGTTTTACCTGCAGATGTTAGAAAGCCTCTTTCTTTCCACAATGCACCGACTGCATGACAAATGCCATAGGCATACTTCGAGTCAGTGTAAATATTAACTCGTTTATTCTTAGCATACAATGCTGCTTTGGTTAGTGCTCTCAATTCTGCAGCTTGAGCTCCTAATGTCGGTGGCAAGTTGTTCAGCGATGAGAACAAACTTTTCAGTAGCTATTGCAAAGCCCCTAAATCTCTTACCGTGAAGATAAAAGGAAGATCCGTCAGTAAAGAGATTCAAATCAGGGTGTTCCACCGGCGTGTCCCTCAAATCTTCTCTAGTCTTGCTTATAGTTTTCAAGACAGCTACACAGTCGTGCGATCTTTCAGGTTCAGTCACTGGGAGTAAGGTAGCAGGGTTAAGAGTCTTTGATCTCTCAAGTTTGACATTCTCCGTTAGCAAAAGGATCATTTCATATCTGTGTGTCCTTTGTGCAGAAAGTGCTTTTTCTGCATATTTAGTTAGTAAAAGTTCAAGCTCATGGGGAACAGCGACTACGAGATAATGGCCTAGCACAATATTCTTTGCCTTTTCCACCAGCTCAGCAGCTGCGGCAATAGATCGCAGACAGCATGGAGATCCTCTGATAACTGGGTCCAAGGTGACAGAATAGAGCAAATCTGTCTTTAAACTACAGTTTGTAAAAGTAAGTTGGCTTCAATCTTATGATAAATATAATCCTTATCTAAAAGGCAACTGGCAGCTTGCTTCTTAATTATCTGAATATTTGGGACTGCCTGCTTTGAAATTATTTCGGAAGCAACATCCAACTCATATGCCAGATTTTTTATCATTGTTTTGTCGTTTGGGGTTTTTTTAATGAACCGTGAAGGTTCTTGCCTTTTCCACTTTCATAGCCAAGAGATGATAAGACTTGAAAGAATGTAATATCAAAATATTTTGTGCTTTAGAAATACTGTATTTTTATTTGTGTATTTCTGTACCTCATTCTGTAAAGGTAATGAGGTAAAAATTAAAAAAGATGCAATAAAAAGATGTATTAATTTCTCTGAACTGCTTAATGAGGCCTAATATAAACCTGAATTTCAAATCACCTTAGGGTTGTCCTATGCTCTCATTTCAAATGACAGTTCTGTCTTGCGACTCAGCTGGCCTTTTATTTTGTGCCACAAATTAGCAAACCACGTGGTTTTATGTCACTGTTTTATTAGAGCAGTGCTTGGTACTTAGAGAGGGGAAAATTGCATTACAGTAGTTTTGTTAGAACGCAACCCACATGGGGTGGAGAGGGGGAAATAAAGGCAGTTTCAGGCCTATGTTTAGATATTTTAAATATGGGTAAATATAGAGGACTGAAAAATTCCTTCTGGTTTTCCACACTTCCTAACAAGACAAAGTGCAGTTTATGCTCCTTAGCAGCAAGGTATCAGCATCAAGGTGCTACATGGCACTTTAGCAGCCAATACTGTATAGAGTAGAGAATGTATTTACAGGTGAAACAGTTCTTGAAATGTATGGTGCTTGTGATACTTTGAAAATGGTGTCTGCTGTCTGTAATTGAAGAAAGGGGATCTACTAAAACCGTGAGAGGACAAAAAGCAACTGGGAACTGTGCAGGGTTTTTTTTTCAATCTGCTGTTTGCTCAAGGGGATTAGCATCTCCTAATGACTGGGTTCTTTTGTCCTGTGGCTTGATTCTGTATCTCTAAGTCCTATCATTTTGTCAGTCTAAATGAATAAGGTAATACCTAGAGTTTGTTGCACTGAATTAGTATTCTGGGGTTGGATGAATAGTCTGGGGAAAGGTGAAAATATAACTTGGCTTGACCACAGGGTCAGGATTCTGAGGACCACAAGAAGAATACCATGAATCACAGCTTTTTACCTTAACTGGTCAAAATCCCAGTGTGCTTTGATGGGACCTGAAGAGAATGAACACTGCAGTGGAGATCACCTTCCCTTCCCCTGCCTGGGCAGTTTGGAGGAATGCTTCCCCTCCCAAGGCCATTCTTGTCTGCGAAAGGAGATGGAACATTTCCCGTGGCAGGCACCTGGCTGTTTATCACTGTGTCAGAAATCAAGCTGTTTCAAGATGTTTAGATTTTGTTTCCTGTTGTCGTCTCTAGTGACAAAGTACCATATGTTGTTACCACTTTTTGCACTTCTGACTAGCTTTGTCTTACTGTCCTTTATAAGTCACGTCTACTGATGACTTCTCTTTTATTAATATGGTTATATCAGTGTTCAGTGTCTGCAGAACTCATAGCTAAACCTAGCTAAGAAAAGGTCCTAGTTTTGCACGGTCTCAGCCCTGGAACGTTTCAGACTAGTGAGGTGAAACCTAATTCGTCACCCTGACTAGATGGACTGAGATTTGTGTCCCGGGTTTCAACTGCGAGGAAAACAGGACTTGGGAAATTGTGTCATTCTAATTTTTTTTTGTGTGTGTGTGTTGTACAGACTGCTGGGGTGCATCTGGACAGGACAGGTTCCAGAGCACGCATGCTTGTAGCATAGTAAGGGTAGTGTCGCAGCTCTTAGCTGAGGGAATTTTAGCTAATAATAGTCCCAGCTGACATGTGGCCTGTATGTTACTTTTTATTCTTGATTACACCAACTTCTATGTCTTGTCTTCTCCTGTGGTTTAAAAAGCTTTCCTATATTGTTCGTTTTTCTCTCACCAGATAAAACCTGTGTAGTTGGGTGTGTTTAGCTGTCATTTGGGCTGTGATCTGTCTCCTGCATCCTGTGAGAGCCCATAATGTATCAGCTTTCTGCTCAGCATCTACGGGGGAACAGATGCCCTCAGGACCAGCCTCCTGCTATTCTCTGTCAAGTACCTTGTCAGACATGGGCTTCCTTGCTGACATTCATGGTAGAAATCATTGCAGCTATGACTGGGTGTGTCCACCTGAATGAGATATCTGGGCTCCCACTGTAGTCAAGGGAAGTTCATTTGGTTCAGGGGTGGGGTTTATGCATGATTGAGCTTACCTAATAAAAGCCTTTCCTCTAGGATGTGTCAGGTCAGCCTTGAATGCATTGATTGCACAGGCTGTACAGGAAATCTGAGGCAAATGGACTTGGTATTGGCAGTCCTATTGTAGACAGAACCTCTGTGTAGATGAATCCGTCTCTTAGTGTTCTATGTGTGATTGGACACTGCTCCGAGAGTCCTCTGCCTTGCCTTCATTTGCTGTATTCCACCTGGACTAGGGAATGAACAGGCCCAGGCTGCAGAACAGTTGATCCAAGTTCCTGCAGAGAGGTGGAGAGCATCTGCCTCGGCAGGGCTCACTGGTAAGCAGCTGGAATCTGAACTACTTCAGCTGTGGTGTCTGTGGGAACGGGTGGATCATCTGGAGTCATCTTCCTGTGCTGGCACACAGGCTATCTGCCTATCCAAACTTTGAGCTGTTACTGCTGTGCCAGCACGTCCTGTAAAGATGCAGTAGATTTGTTCTAAAACTGAAATAAAGCCTCTGTCCTACTGAGGTTGGGGTAGCTGGACCTAACTGCCTGCTAAGTAAAAATACGTAACAGCCGAGTCATTTGTATACTGTGAACATGCCCTTGACTCACAGGAATATAGGTAACAGGGAATAAGGGCAGTGGGGACCTCTAGTTAAAAAGGCCAAACTGGAGGGAGAGGCATGACTAGTACTGGCAATGATGTCTAGGTCATGTGGACACACGGGAAAAATCATAGGGATGTGCCTGGAAAACATTCATAGTTGCTGCACAGCAAATGCATTGATAACTGCAAAGCATTGCTCATTTACAGCACATCAGAATCCATCTGTAATGTACCATGGGTAAACCAACAAGAACTCTTTTCTTTTTGTATCTTCTTATCAATGGCTTGCTGATGCTGTTGCTTTTAAAACCCTATAGCTTTTGGGGAAGACTCTCCTAGCCTTGTACTACAGTGAGGAGCCTTTGACAGCTAAATCGGGCTCTGGGCTCCAAGTGTTCCACCACTCCTGAATATGTTGGCATTCTGCCTACGGTGATGTCTTACTGAGCACTTCTCCTTTTTTTGCCCCCAGCTGATAGGCAGGTGACCCAGAAAAGCTTCAGCTTTGCCCAGGAGTCTGTTTGCGCTCTTCCTTTGTGTTTGCCGCAGGTGGCGCCAATGTAGTGAAGGTAAAACATATCTATTTGGCCCAACAGGCATGAGACCCCTATACAGTCCAAGGACATGGGGACTGCTGTAGGCACAGAGCAGAAAATGGGCTAGTATGTCTGTTTGGCTACTCACGAAGTCCTGGTAGCTATAGGTAGTTGCAGAGGTGTTCATTTCTTTTTTTTTTTTTTTTTTTCTTGGGATGTGGGAACAGTTTCCATATGCTACAGAAACCCAGTGCCCCTTAGTTTGTGACAAGCATTCTCCTTCTCATCAGCTCTCCAATGATGCTATCAAACCAGCAGATGCTTACAAAGAGAATTTCATGGGCAAAGTCATGCAGAGCAGCTAGATTCAGTAGACTTCTGAACACAGGGGATTTCTCCTTTCAGGTCTGCAAGAGCTGAATCCAGTGGACTCTCGCTCCCAGGAGGCTTCTCCCAGCCCAGCCTTGTGGCTGCTGCTGTCCTCACGTGTGTGTGTGTGTTCAGAAGACTTATGGTGCATTCCAAAGAGCCAGATGCAGACACACACACACAGATTTACACCAATAATGCAACCGGCAAAACAGATTGACATAGACAGAGTAACGCCTTTACCGGCACCCAGGTCTTTGTAACCACCACTTACATAAATGTGAACACAGGCCGCTCCTTTTCTGCCTTTCCATATGATCAGGACTGGATGTTTGCTAGTGAACCACAACTTCATTCCCTAGATTCATAAGCACAGCGTGTGCATGGATTCCTCAAGCAACACTCTGGAAATCGAGTCCATGTAATATCTGTGGCTGGATGTCAAGCTCCTTAGCCAGTCATTGGTGCAAACGTTGGGTCTTTCTAGATCTCCTGTGTCATGAGAGAGTCCAGTTTGAAGTTCACTGGTGCATTGTACACACACACACAGGGATCCCCCCAGTAGCCGGCCAAAGACACTTTGTGTTTCCAACTGCTGTCCCAAGACCTCTTGCCCCCTATCACCCATGTTCCTTTCTTACACTGAACCATCCCCCTCCTCTGTGGCCAGACAGGGATTCAGGCCTTTTGAGCAACTCTTCCCTTTGTGCCCCACTTAGCTGCCTGCAGCCTCATTTGGCAGGGACCAGCCAGCCATGGAAGTCCTTGCTTTGCACAGGTGACTGAATTGCACTGGAGCATGGTTAGCTGTGAAAACTGTTAACTTTATTTCAAGAACTAAGGCAACTTAAGCATTTGTGTGTACTCTAGCATTTGTGAGCAGGGACAGGACAGAAGAGGCCTTTGACACTGAGGCTGCCATCGGATCAGCAGGCATTGCCCCAGAAGGGAATGGTCATGGTACACTGCAGCCTGCACTGGATCCCATTCATCTGGCTACTCAAGCCTTTTTTCCTCTTAGGACCTGCAGGAGCTCCTGCAGCAGATTAAAGAATTCCACCAGCTTCTGGCGTGGAAATAGACAGGATGTAAAGCCGCTCTCTTGCGTTGGTACTGGACTTGGCTTCTGAAAGGGGGTTGAAGTGAAAACTGGCTGTGGTGTGAAGACTGGCTGTGGTGTTGGAGCAGCCGTTAGTGCTGGGTGCAGCCCCATCTGTACCAAGATCCAGTCGTAAAAGTGCTGAGTGGAGGTGTAGACTCCGGGCCGTCTTGCTCTTGCACAGCCTTTCCCCCAGCTGGTGACTCCAACTAGCCAGAAGTAGTCAGCACTGGTATCTTTGCAAACAAGAGGACCACCACTGTCGCCCTGCAGTGGAGACCAGAGGATTAAGGCGATGTTGGGTGGCCAGTGGCAACACAGGGGCTGGCTCCTCCTCTGTCACAGCACATGCCGGAGTCTGGGCAGTGGTGACAGGGCTGTCTGTGCTGCTGGGGACAAGCCATCGCACGCTCCTACCTGGCAGGTGTCAATGCCGCCCTGCGGATAGCCAGCACACAGGTTGTGGGGGTGGACGGCCCCACTGTACCACCGGGTGCTGTTACAGAGTTTGACGTCGATGAGCCGGACCTTGGCCTCCTGCAGGACATCAGTTGGTCTTCCAGCTGTGAGCACAGAAAGGAATGAACACCCAGCAGCTCGTTGCCAGTTCTCCTCCCTTGCCTGGGTGAACCTCCCTTTTCCCTAGGGCTCGGCTTTGCATCATGACAGGCATTGTACCAGTGTTTCATTTCTGTCTTGCTTTGGGTAGCGTGCCAGGCCCATCTCTCTACAGGCATATGTCCCTGCAGTCTGACCCTGGCTCTCGCCTCTGCTGTCAGGAAGCCCAGCCCATCTCCCCCAACGTGCCAGGCTTGCACTCGGGACCCGAGCACTTTTTGGGAACTCACATCTTGCAGCTGTGGACCCCCAACCGCTGACGTAGCAGTTTTTCAGCTCTGACACTCTCAGCGAGGCGTCAGGCACGCAGGCAAGCTGTATGGAGTAGCTGCACTGGACAGGCTGGTCCAATTCCAGCAAGGCAATGTCATTCTCCTCTGTGATACTAGTGTAGTGCTCGTGAGCCAGTAGCCGCTTAATATGGCGCACTTGGGTGTCAGGGCCCAGCTGAGACAAATGGGTGGCTCCGATCACCACGCGCCACATGGTGATGTACCTGGAAGGCAGATCGAGAGAGGGATCAAAGGGAGTGGAGCCATGCACCCAGCAGCCCAGCAGTTCTCTGCTTTCTGCTTGGCAAGGGAGAGGGGAAAGCAGCACTGTGGAGGGTGCAAGTGCCCTAGCATGCCTCTGGCTGGAGGCATGTCAAGCTGGAGGCTGCTAGGAAGCAGTGGCACGAGCCCAGCCTTCTCCTGAGCAGTCTCCGAGCGGGGCTCTGCAGTGCCCAGGCACTGGGCATACTGCAAGGGAACGGTATGGGAGCAGCACACGGTGTCGCAGACAGGGCATCTGCAAGTGCCGTGGGGATATCCCCGTTCCCTGGTCCTCCTTACCTGGCCTCGACGAAGCAGTGGGCTGCTGTGAGGACCCACTGTGGGCTGATGAGGGACCCTCCACATATATGTCCTGTGCCTATCGCCCAGGGATCCTGGATGCTGACAATCCAGGGCCAGGAGCCTGGCTGGGCGTCTGTGCCACCGACGACGCGCGACGTGCCGTGCTGAGAAGCCGTGGGCCGGAGCCCGCAGGTCCCTCTGTAATCAGAAACTCGTTACCATCCTGCTCTGTGGCTTGCTGATGTGCAGGCTGAAGCTCAGCCATCTTCCCTCCCCACAAGGCCCGGAGAGCATGGCCAGGGAACCCTCTTGGGGGGGCGCATCCATCTGAGCCTGTTTCTGCGTTAGCCCTGAGGATGGGCCGTGCCAGCAGCCTGGGTGCTGCAAGGAACTGAGGCTCCCACGTGGGGGAAGCTGCGGGGACAAGGGGACAAGCGGGCACCCTCCGGTGAATCCCATAAGGGTTGCCCGAGCTCCCTCCCAGAGCCTCGAGCCACTCACCCACAGCTGTCCCGTGTGCTGCCTGCAGCCCAGCACGTGGCCAGCAGGACGAGGAAAGGAAGCGAATGCATCACTGCAGCTGCAAGACCGGAGGGCTCCTCACCACCAGCGCAGCAGCCGACACAGTGCCCGCAGTGCTCCTGTTGCCCGCGGTGCCCTCGGCAACGGGGCTGATGTCACAGAGTCACTGGTTCCAGGTGCTGGGCACGGTGGCCTCTCCTGGGGGGGGGTGCAACGTAAGGGGGGGTTCCAAGCAGGAGGGGAGGCAGAAGCTGGGGTTGGACACCCCCAAGAGACTCCCGCTGAACGCTCTGCCTGCGGGATGAGGGGGTGTGGGCCCCATGGCAGGTGTTAAAGGAGACTCGAACTCCGTCGTGGGTTACTCTAGGATTTTATTCAGGTCCAGCAGCGTTGGGTCACCTCCGCAGAGAGTGACAGCTTACATGAGTTCGCATACATGTATTTATGCACCTACAAAGCATTACCTAATCCAAAATACACAGAATTATACTTGATCAGTCATTCTTATCTTGACAGCGGGTTCCACATCTTGTTCTGGAGTCCGACTACTTCGTTGTTTTGTTTCTTCTTTCTTTTAGTCTTCAAGGACGATTACCTCAAGTTCTGTACGTCTCAGTTCTTAGTAGCCACAATGATAGATCTCCCATTTTGGGAGATAAGCAGCATGCTGATTTTGTGTTAGCATTTGCAACTTAAATCATAAAACACTGTTTGTTCTCTTAACTCTTCAGAGTTAATGCATCATTATTAGTACAACAGGCAGCACGTGCCTGCGCAGAGTTTGAGGTTTTACTTGAAAATTACAGCTTTGGTTGCTTCGTGCACAGTGTAGCTCTTGCTTCTTGAATTTCACCCAGCAGCCATGCAGGTTCCCCCAAAAACTCCCTTAAAAAGCTCCGAAGATGCCTCTGACTCCTCTGCCCCCTTCTGAAGCAGCACAGCGAGACAAATGAGACTTTTTATTTTCCCATTACAGTCAATGGGCGACGACAAAAATCAGCCAGCCATGGCTCTGGGGGTGGAACCCATCAGTCAGCAGCAGCACTTCATGAACGGGGTCCATGAGATGGCGACATGGATCTATGGTATTTGAGTGCCACAGAATGAACCCAAAATAAACCGAATTAAAAGAAAAAAAAAAAAACAAAACAAAAACAACAAAAACCAAAACAACACACATACCCCCAAATATTCAAACTGATAAGTAACACAGGTTTGCTTAATGGATTTCTCCTTCCCCCCCCGTCCCCATCAATTTCATTTACAACACAGCGCATGTCCAAACTAGATCATCTCTTACGATAAAAAATTACATATTTCAGCATTTCCAAAACAAAAATAATTCCTATATTTCTAGATGTAGCGCCCTGCGGGAAAAACATAAATTTAAAAAGTAGGCCAGCATCTTATTTTTTACCTTTTTACACCCCTTCAGGATTCCCATTTAGGAGACTTTTTGAAGGGGTCCTTGGGAGACTGGGGGAGCTGTTTTAAGGCACCAAAGATGCGGAAAACACCCAGCACCAAGCCTGCATCGCTTGGGAAGGGGGTTGCTGCTAACTAAAGCATCGCGGGTCCCTTCAAGGATTTTCTTTTTTTTTTTTTTTTTTTTTTCAGTCCTAAAGGAACACCTCTGAGAGGGTTTTTTCCCCTCCAACTTCTTTTCCCTCTGCACAGAGAAATACTAAATCCTCCCCAAATAAGGACCCAGCCATGGGTTTATGGTGTATAGAGGGGCCGGCTGCAGCGCTGGGCCTCACAGCCAGCCTGGGGCATTGCACCTACCTTGTAGAGGGCCTAGAGTCACAGTATGAAGCAAGACCTCAGCGTTCATTTCAGAAAGAAAGAAAGAAAGAAAGAAAGAAAAAGCCACCAGACCCGCAAACAGGATAAGCAAAGCTTCAAAGGGAGAAGACGGCTGCAGAGGGGCCCGCCAGGGAAGCCTGGTTTGCTTTTTAAATGAGGAATTGCCCAGGCAGCTGCCGCCATTTTGCAGCTCCCCGAGGCCAGGGGGGAGGCCGAGCCCCGAGGGGCTGGGCCCAGCCCACTCTTCATTCCAACCGGCACCATTTCCCTCCCAGGGTGGGATTTGTTCTTTCGACACAGAAGAGGTGCCAGGCACATGCTGAAAACAATCCCAGCCCCTGGCCCTGATCCCTGCCAGGAGCGGGAGTGGGGTTCAGCCTGGCTCTTGCCTCCCACGTCGAGGAAAATACGAATGGAAAACCTAAAATTGTCCCCTAGTAGAAGCCCAGCAATTCCATTTTAGGGGCAGGGCAGCACTAGGATTGGTTCCACAGCCACCCAGCACTACAGCCGGTGCAGTCCACTGGCTTAATGCTTGTACCTCCCTGGGCATTAAAGTTGATTTGCCAAACGGTGGAGAGCTCAGGGCTCTCCTCCACCGGGACCTTTTCTCTCTGGGGAGGGAGAGACGGCCCGTCGCAGCAGCAAGCGCAGGGCCATGCTCAGAGCCAGGCCCAGGAAGGCAGCCTGGATGGGACATGCAGGGGCTTCACACAGGAGCAGCAGGAAGAAAACCCAGGCTGGGCACCTTTCCCTTCCTGCAAGCCTTTTGGGTTTGCCTCCCTTCATTTTTGAAGAGCTAAACCAGCCTCCTCCCACCCTGACAGTCCTCGTGCCACGCTGGCAACAGCCCAACTACACTGTGCAAAACCCCATCCCTTAAAAAACAAAAGTCTGATTTTGGCCCTGCTTGGTGCTGTCCTGCTTTCATCCGTACAGAGCAAGTTTATCTTTTCTTGTCCCCACCCGTTCCCAAGGAACAACAACTTGCCATTGTTGCCTGGGGCCGGGTTGATGCACAAAGGCTCCCGCAGCACTGGGACAAGCCGGTGGTTCGGGCACTGGTCCCAGCTGGGCACTGGGCACCAGTTGCAGCTGCCAAGAGCCAGGAGCATGTGCTGAGCCCTCAGCAAGGTGGGGGGCTGCGAGGAGACCTTCTCTGCTGGGGTGTAGTGGCCCCACTGCCACTACAAAACCGCAAATACGCACGCACGTACACATGGAGGCTTAACAACACCGTCCTCCCTCCCTCCCAGTGACTGGGATGTGCACCTCTCTTTGCTGGTGTAGAGACACCAAATGCCTGCAGCACACCAAGGATAACAGAAAACACCTGCACGGCTTTAATGGGAATCCTCTACATGCAAAAAAAGTCACTCCTCCCTGTGTCTGCGTTGGCACGTCCCTGAGTCATGTCCTTACTCCTCTCCTTCAAAGTCAAGATGCCCCGACAGGAAAACTGGAGGAAAAAGAGGAAGAGGGAGAGCACCATCAGTGGCAGACCTGCCGGCCGCTGTCGGCTCAGCCCCGTCCGTGGGACCACCCCGGCAGAGAGGAGCTGGTTTGCGTGCCACGGTCCTGGCCGCCTGCTCCCGGGGACGGGCCCTTTGCTCGGCATCGCCACCCAAAGCACGGGCGAACCGCAGGCACGCGCTGCCGCTTGCAGAGGAGCACGGGCACGGTCACAGGCAATCCCTCACCTCTTCCCTCCCCACATTCAGCGTGCTTCTGTGCTCACGGGGACAGCCTTCCATACGTCCGTTGTTGAAATTTCACCTGAGATACCAACCTCGGAAGGATCGGTCCTGCAATAAATATTTTACACAGCGTGTAGGAAGTGTGGGAAAAGCAAAACAGCGAAGAAACTGCAAAATACACATTTCCTTAACACACACCCGGTGCCCAGAACAAACACAGGACAGGATGAAGATCCGATGATTGGTGTTGTGATGTCACCAAGGAGGAATGAGAAGCGAGGTGGAGGCCGTGTGGTCCTGTTCTTCTACTTCTCTCAAGGAATGTTTTGACATGACTCTGCAGATTTATCTCCTGCTCTTCCCCTTTTCCCAAGGGATGTTTTGCACCACTCTGCAGACACTATCTCCCATGCTTCCTCTTTTCCCACAACAACTGCATGCATGTTGCACCAAGAAATGTGCTGTGTCATTACTCAAGAAACAACGGGTTGACCACAGTCCCACCCAATCACACATACACATTTTGATAAATACCACCCCAAGTTTGTATTTGACTCGGAGGGACGATAATCAACACCACATTGGAGGGACAGGTGGATGGGTTCAGTGCTCCTCGCCGCGCCCCAGAAGGGGTGCCTTTTGGTAAAATTTATGCCCTCAGCTATGCTGAGTGATTACCCGGGGTGTAAGTCTGTGTTTGCAATCATTTTTGTGTGTATTGCTATACAGCCAACTGCAGTTTGTGCATTTATCGTAGGCAATCTCAAAGAATCCGTAAATGTTGCGTAAGAATGAACTGTACTATTCATGCACCTGACTGCTTCTCTTGAATGGCACCGGACCTACAGCACATGGGCTGTTTGTGCACCTGGTGTCAGGCCTATAGTCACAGCAATAATTGGCATAGCTATTAAGAGGATAAGTCCAGCTGCCCTCAGCCCCTCTCATCTCTGAGGACTGGCTAGAACACAAGGGGATTCACCTCTTCACCTTGAATGCAACACAGCAGCCCGTGATTATGGGCACTGATGCACCAAGTGTGTTAGCAGCAGCAAGAGGAACAGGGCATCCTGGAGAACCAAAGCTCAGTGTAAACACAGGAGGTTTTGCTGGACGGGGAGTTTGGGGAGGCAAGCCTGAGAGCTGCAGAGCAGCAGGCCCAAGCCAAGGCTCTTGCTGGTGTTTAGCCCTGGAGTGGGCTCCTGAGCCACTGCTGGCACGGATCATGCCTGCAACTCCTCATTGTTAAGCACGAGGATCTCCAGCTACAATCAAGGCAATGATGATGCAAGTTTTGGGGGTCACACGTGAGCTGGGCAGCCCCTCTGCTTGGGGTCAGAGCCCTGCGATCACATCCTGCAGCCCTGCCCATACATTTGATTTTCCCACGCAGCTGACTGCTGGTTTCTGGGGGATGCTCAATAAAGATGCAAGGGGAGAAAACTGTGCCAGAAGCCTTCAAACTAATTTTGCCGGGGGTCCTGGTGCTTGGTGGGCTTTACCTGTCACTGCTTTGCTCTGGGATAGCTGAGTCACTGGTCTTCCCCAGGTTCAGCTGAACTGAATTTCCAGCAGCAGCAGCAGGTTCCATCATCATCTGGGACTCCTGATGTAAAAGGGACAAATCAAGTTCTCTGATCAAAGCGGAGGTAAACCAAGCAGCCAGCAAAAACATTGCATGATGCCCTCTCCTTCTGACCCTTGGCAGCTTTAGCGATTAGTGCAGCAGGGCAGAGACCTTTCAGTCCAAACACTGGAGGGGGAGCATGGATTTAAACACACTATTATGAGCAAACCTTTCCATAATAATAAAAACAGTCATCATCACCATCGTTACAAATGACTCATTTGAAAGATTATACCCCAATTCAAGTGTTAAGCTCTCTCCTAATTTAGGAAAGAAAGGTTACAATGTGGGATCCAGGCCATCAGGATCTATTTCTATTGAGTTCTGACCTTCCCCCAATATTTCAAGACAAGCTGTGATAGCAACAGGCAATGGCACAGCCTGAGAGAGATGTCCAGCCCTGAGCACCCAGAAAGTGTTACCTCTTCCCCTTCGGCTTCATTTTTCTCATCATCCAGCAACTTCTTGCTTTCTGGCATAAGGTCATCCAGAAAGCTGAGCTCTCGCTGCGAGAAGCAGAAATCCATCACTTTCCGGACAAAAACGAGAGCCAAAACCTTCACGAGTAAGAGGGAAGATGTGGTGAGGCCCAAGATAATGTGACATCTCACTCCGGCGCTGCAAACATCCCGCTGCCAAGCGGCACCGGCTCTTACCATCATGGGGAAGATGATGGCGGCTGGGGACACCTTGATGGCCCAGAGCAGGACGAGGCAGATCAGCTGGATCATGGTGAACAAATGCACCTTTCGCAAGGGGACGTGCCGCAGGTAGATGAAATCTGGCTGGTGTTTTGCTGGCATCCAAAACAGCTTCAGGCGGTTGAAGAACTGCAAAATCAAAGTGAAAAGTGGCCACCTTGGGACTGCAGAAAGTTTCTGGCCCTCTTGAGACGTGGGGGGACTTTTCAAGGTCTCGTGTGCAGTGAGAAATCCTGGATCCCACTATGTTCCTCCTGGGAGCAGCACCCCTTTTCCCTTCACTCCATCTAAAAACCAGCCAGCCCACGAGAGCTGCCCTCCAAATTGCAATTGATCCACACTGTTCTATTATTAGCCTTTCCTGGCCCACTGAGTCCCTCAGCAAGGATTTCCACTGCTAGCAGAAATTGCCTTCCTATTGCGCTGAATTCCCCCATTTTCATGGAACCAAACACCGACCTGCCCTAAACTGTGAAATAAAGAGCGTTCTGAGCTTGCCCGGTCCTCCCAGACCTCTGTAACCTCCCGTGCCCCCACCAGTCATCCCCCTACACCAAATATTTCCACTGTTTGCTCCTGGAGAGGTTTTTTCCTACGCCACCACTTTTTTCCTGCTGCTACAGAGATGAAACACCAGGGAGCTGACACACTGCGCGCTGTACAACAGTCTGTACCTGAATTCCTCTGAGTGACGACGTGCCCATGTAGAGAAAGACGCCATAAAGCACAGGCATTGGGATAAACTGAAAAAGAAAGAATGCAATAATTTATTTCTTGAAACTGCATTTTCTGTATTACCCACCTCTTCTACAGGCACTGTCCAGAATTGCCTAAATCTTCCCAGTTTCCACAGGGTTAGAGATGTGTCAGATTTTCACCATCAGAGATTTTGTGTGTGCGAGTGAGCTAATGCTCTGCTTTATACTGAACCTTTGAGTGACCTTTCATCCAAATAATCCTCTTTTCCAGAAAAGTTGGAGGAAAAGCGGTGTTTTCACCCATGCTACCATGTGCTGCATTCTGTGTCAGTAGAAAACCATTTCTACGTATTCGTGTGGCGAGAGGTAAAAGCAAAGTGCCCCCTTTTAGCCTAAAGATGAGATTACTTTGCGCAAGGAAGCCCATGGGGACAATGTCAGTGTGTTTAGCTACTGGGAATCGTTGTTTTGGGGCATCTGGGGGAGCAAATTGCAACCGATAAAGTGCTCCCTGTTTGAAAGAGAGCAGAAGTCTGAATATGCTTAATGGTGACCCATAAACACGGGTGGGCCTGAAAGATGCCTGAAAATTAAAGCAGCTGCCTTGCTCGCTTGCCATGAGCCCACCAAACGGGGGTCTGAAGGGATGAGAAGTGTCACAGAGGCTGGCTTCCCACCGTGGGGCAAGCCCCAAGGTTTGGCATCACTTCCTCCTCTGCTCCACAACTGCTCAGGCCTGGAGAGAGGAGACCCCTTTTGCATAACCTCCAAAAAGCTTGTGGTTGTTGGGTGCTTTGCAATTTTCTCTTACCTTTAACGCAGACGTGAGGAAGACAGAGCAACCCATGAGCACAAAGATCATCAAGCCCGTGACCCTCTGCTCTCGTATCCCCAGGAACTTGGGTTGTTCTCCCGGAGCTAAGCAGTCAGATTCTACTTTGAGGCTATTCACGTGGGTGATGGACAGGACGGTCGCAGCCACAAACCAGGGCAGCCCCATCACAGAGCACACCCCGAGCATCACGGCCACCACGAAAAGGTCCAGGTGGTACCCGCATCCTTTCTGCAGGGAGGAAAACAAGAAACAGCATCCCACAGTGTAAGAGCGCAAGGACAGCATCACAAGTCAGACTCAAACCCTACTTGAGCACAACTCAACTTCTTGAAAATTTAAAACAAGAATTGGAAAGAAACAGGGATGTATCCAGTCTCTGAGCAAGCACCTTGCATCAAAATCTGCCAGGAGTGCAGACAGAGTGCATTTGGAGAAACTGTTGTTTTCATTCATAAAGCAATTTCCGCTGCTTGCAAGTAAGATGCAACTCCCTTATCCCTGGCAGTGCATCAAAACAATTCATTCCCCCAGCCGTGGTTGACGTTTTAAAACAGAAAAGTGCTTCTGTATTTCTCTCAGATTAGTTTGCGGCTCCAAAAGATTGCTCATCTGAAGTCTCCTGTCATTTGCTCCCTGTGTCATCATGAACCCACGAGAGCATCTTGCCATGCAGTCTGACATTGTCCCAAAGCAATGCCTTCCCAAAGCATTTGGAATAGGAGCTTTTCCCCATCTCTGCAGGCCGGAGAGTGGGGTGGGGACAGGGCCATCTCTCAGCCCCTTACCTTCAGCCTGTGCTCCTTCCTGTTCACAAGGACAGCAGTGATCTGCTGATCCATGAAGATCAAGATGGTGCAGAGCAGAGCTGGGATGGGCGCAGCCAACACCGTCCACCAAGGGTTCGGTCCTAGGGGGTTGATGAACCACCCGCGGTCGTCTCTAGTAGGCTGCAACAAAACACGCACATCAGCATCATCTCCCAGCCCAGCCACTCCACTGGCTTTGATCTTCCCCTCCCTGCCTGTGTCCAAGCATCTCCCAGCCCTGGCTGCATGTCACTCTCTCCTGTGGGGCGTGCTCTTTGTCCTCTCTAGTGTCAGTGTCCTCTTTGCAAGCGTCCACAGATACTTCTCCTGGAGGTATCTAGTTTGGGGGCTGTCTTCTAGTTTCCCGAAGGAAACGATGCACTCGGAGGTGGAAGAAGAGAAGGTCCCACCACCACCATCTCCTCCAGACTCAGCCCTGATCTGTCCCAGCATCACCTTCTGGCATCCCCAAGGGCTGGAACCAGCTCCGTGCCAAAACCCCTCATTACCTTGAACACGTGGGGGACGTGGAGCTTTGGTGATGGGATCCCAATCATGAAGTCCATAAGCACCATGATGACGATGGTGAGGAAAACAGCAAAGTCACTTACTGTGGACCGCACCTGGGGCAAGAAACCAGAGCTGACAGGGGCGTCGCAAATGGGGCTCTAACATGAGAGGGAAAAGTTGGGGACATCAACAACATGAAGGCTGGTTAACGAAACCCCAACACTCCGAGGACATGCGGCTGAACCCCTTGGTTACACATTGCTGCTGTGTTTACCCCTGGGAGATTTGGTGTCAGACAATAAAAGATTTTAATTAGGTGGAAAAGGGTTGTTTGAATTTGAAACTTAAAAAAAAAAAAAAAAATCCAAAAAGGGAACAGATGTCTGCCACTACAGCCACACTCACAGCTAAAATGGGAATAAGGACCTGAGGCATCATTTATTCCTCATCTGAATCAACTTCCCCTCGAGCACATAATACACAGAAGGTGGGAAAAACTCCCAAACTTTGGAAGACCTGATTTCCCACTGCCTGAGCGAAAAATTGCTCTGGGGCAGGTTGCAAGGCAGGTGGGAAATGCTACGGTCATTTTGCACTCATGGAAATGAGTGAGGGACGTCCGAGCTGATGGAGAGCTTGACCTTCAAGGTCAGCATTTCCCAGCTTGACCAAGTGATGCCAAGTACTGCTTAGTGCTCCAGGAAAGCCATTTGGGGAAGTGAAGGTGGAGACTGCTACTGGCCACCATCTTCTACTTACTTTGGTTGGGAAGTAACGGCTGGTTTTAAACTTCTTCAGTAAGCTCGAGAGCACAAAGGTGGAGAAGAAGAGGATGCAGCACCAGAAGAGGACATTGGGTGCGTAGGGGCCGTTGTGTCCACAGGCGGGTCCTTGAAACACTCCATGCAAAGACTGACATTCCTGGAGAAACAGAGTGTCAGGACACAAAGGCAGTGCACGTGTGGCATGGAAACCTTGAGTAACTAGGGGGGCTTGAGGATTTCGGCCCAAGATCCATGCCCCTGTGACTGCTGTGGCTGGAGATTTACAGTTCATGACCAGCAGCAGCTGAACGAGTGATACATCGAACTGCACGGAGGAGAGCGGAGAGATGAAATGTGATGGGACACCATAACATAGACCCGCGGTACATCCTCTGCTGCAACAGCAGGTAACCGTGGCTGAAGAAGACACCAGAGGGGAAGGAAACGCTGGAAACTCTTGACGATAGAGAAAGAGGGAATGGGGAAGGAGGGCTAAGGCAGCCATGGTAGGAAAGGAGAAGAGACAAATTGTCCCTTCCCAGGGGAGGCCTCGCAGAACCTGACCAAGAGGGGGTGAAGATGTCCAGAAAAGCTTCCCATCCCTCTGCTTCCAGCAGCAACAGCCCTAGAGGCTGCTCAGACATGCAGATTTATGCATGTACCTGCAGGCAGCACTGAATAAGAAAGCAAGGCCTAGAGTTATTAGCAACCAGTTAAGGAAGCCAATTACTACCTTCAAGCATGAACTTTAGTCCTCCAACTGCTACCAGAATCAAACCACCCACTTATCGTTGCTCCCCGTCAGCAATATTGTCCAGCAACAGAGCGGAGGAGGACAGTTATCTCCTACAACACCGGGGACAAGGTGGATTGGATAAGGTGGACTCTCCTTCCCAGGTCCAAGCGGCATAAAACCACGTATTAAATTTAAGTAGTGGCTTTCCAGAGCAGCACTAGCCCAGTTTGAAGTCCATCATCACCTAACGGGCTTTGACCTTTGCACCACACGAATGCCCCCGGGCCCCATGGCCGCGGTGCGAGGAAGCAGTGGCTCAGGGCACTTACAGCCACCGTGAGGTTTTCCCAGGTGATGCTGGACACGTTGATCTTGTTGCTCTCCCAGAAGCGCAGGGTTTTGTTGCTGGGATGGGTCGGTGCCTCACACTTACAGCTGGGAGGAAAGAAGCCAAGACAGGGGTCAAGGGGTCAAAGGCTGTGAAGGTGCAGCCCTGACCTCCTGTCAAGGGGCAGACGTGGTTTTGGAGGAAAACACCCACTAGTAGGTGGTGAGCAAGTCGAGCTTGCTGTGCATGTGCACAGGGTAGGTCTCCCGCAGACGATTCAGTTTCTCCAGAGCCTCGTAGATGAAGATGAAGCAGATGAGGGAGGCAAAGGCTTCTTCGGTGAAGCGGGTGATGTAGCACACCAAGGAGCTGGCGTCGGTGGCCACCAGCACGATGCAGAAGGCGGCAGTCCACAGCCCGATGCACGCCCGCAGGGAGAGATAGGAGAGCGTGTACTCCCTGGGAAACCCAAACAGCATGAGGGGTGGAAAGGCCGGCACGAGGCTCCGAGCCGTGCCTGCCTGCGGGGAAACCTGGGAGCGATTTAGGAGCGTGTCCAGGCTGCGGAGGGTCAGGGCAGTTCCCATGGACATGGACAGCCAGCCTCGGGGCTGCGGGGCAGGCTGGGAGCCTGCAGGAGGAGGGGCCAAGGACTGCTTTATCATTATTATTATCAATTATCTGGTGTTAGCCCTCGGAGGCTAACTGAGGTCAGGTCCCTGGTGTGGAAGAGGTGGTGTTGTCCCACATCACCCTGATGCCCTGACACGGAAACCAGAGGGTTTTGCGCTCAGTCACCTGCTACCTGCAAGCTGGGGCTTGATAATAAATTTCATTGCAGTATGGGTGGTTCATCTCACATCAAAGTCACCACCACAAAAGGACTGTCATGGAAAGTGTCCATTTCACACAAAAAGCTCCTACTTTTCAATAAAATCACCAAAACTCAAAGTATTTCATCACAAAACTATTTGCATGTTTGGGCAAAACATATTTCCACTCCCAGCAAAAATCAGACTCAAAAGTGCCTGCTTTGGTACTCAGAGAAAAGCCAATCTTCCCTCCTTCCCAAACCAGAGTGACTTGTCTCATCTTTCTTGTACAGCCCATCTTGGGCATCCACATCCTTTTGCTTTCTCCCCCTCCCCCTGCTGCGCTTTAACCCTAGAAACCCCAAACGACCCCTTCCACACTGCAGAGACCGAGGGCTCTTGCACCATCACGTACTAAAGCAGCAGCATGCCATGTCTCTGGCACAGAAGACAACTTAAACCAAACAGCTACCACCGAGAAAAATAGAATAAAAACATCTTTTCCCCATCGCTGCTGCCTTCTGAAGGCCCTTGCAGCCCCCAGCCGCAGCAGGCAGCATTACTTGCAGAACTTGTAGAGGATCTTTTCAAACACGAGGACAGGTCCAGTGCTGCCGAGGATCGTGAGAGGTTGTCCAGCAAAGAGGGAAAACACCACACCGGTCAGGGATGCGCCCAGCAGTGACTCCATGGCACTCTATCCAGGGAAGAAAGGCAGCAGTCAGCAAATAAAGCAGGGAAAAAAAAAAAACAAAACCAAAGCAAGTTCACTGCAGCAATGTCTTCTGCATGAGTTTCATCCTCCCCCATGCCACCCAACCCAGAGAGGTGCTCACTATGTGGCCATGGGTCGCCTCCCCCAGCAGTCCCCCGAAGGTGATGATGGGGGACATGCAGGCACAGTAGAGGAAGAGGAAGGACGCCAGACACTGCAGCCTCAGACCATCCCGAAAGTCACTCCAGTACCATGGGGCTTTTCGCTTCACATCCCGGATCAAACCTCCAAAGAGCCTGGAGGAGGGAAAAAAAATCAGACTGTTCTCTTGGAAGAGCACAACAGAGTTTGCTTTCCTACAGAAGGGCCACCACGAGCACTGCTAAAAGGAAGCACTCCCCTTCCCGTTTTATACCCTGTAGAAACCGAGGTACGCAAAAACCCCCTCCAACAAAAAGAACAAGGAACCAACTTGAGGGCCTGGCCCCTCTTATTGCAACAGTCCCTTGCTTTGAGAAGCAGCAGAGCTCTCCCTGGAGGTATTTACACATCTGCTTCCACCCCAAATCAGGAAAACCTGTGTGCAGCGATGCTGTGGCTGAGCCCAGCTGCCCAGATCTGCCCCCTGCCCAGCCCAGGGGACCAGGCTGGTTATGTGGAGCCCCTTCACTCAAGCAACCAGCCCCAAACACCTGCTCGAAGGGAAGGTGCGTGCTGAGATTGGAGAGGCAAACAGAAAAAAATAGAACCCCCAACTGTTAAAGCTCACACCTTCCTGTCCGCTGCAGCTCAGGACCGCTGTGTTTCTCTGGCTTGCTGTGAGAAGCACTGTCATCGGGAGCTGCTGGCATCTTCCTTTTTTGCTGTTGAAATGGAAGTAAGATAAAGATATGGATTTGGAATCCCTGGCTTGTTCTGCTTCTGCTCTGGGTGACTGTGTCAAGCTGGGCCCTTGTGAACTCTGGCCCTGGGACAGCATCCCTGTCCTGCCCGTCCCCCTCGCACCTCCCTCTGTCACAGCACCCACCTGTGATGGGACTGTTTTTCGGGGGCTTGATTCGAATCGATGGATCCCATTCTCCTGGTGGCAAGACCGTGACCTGATCCAGGAACTCGTCAATGCCGGCCACGAGGTCATCCCGGCTCTTGGCTTTATAGGCAACGTCATGGAAAACCTGCCCAAAGGAGACAACCTGGTGAGAGGCCAACCCATCTTGGATGTCCTGACACGTGCAACAAGACCTTGGCTAAATGAAGGATAATTTCCCCCAGATTCTCGTCTGGAAACGCCAGGAAATATCCACCCCAAAGTTAAAATCTGTGCATCCTGGTATCTGTAATCATATGCGTGAGGCCCCCATCCCCCATGGCACCCTGCAGCCTTTTGCTTCAAGAGCAAGAGAAGGTTTCCTGGCCCTCGCAATGCCACCGCTGGGGACAGCGAGTGGGGGCCCCGGGGAGAAGGACGAGGTGCAGGATGCACCCGGCTGGGATTTCAGCCTCCAGGACGGGGGGTGGTGCAAATGCCTGTGGTTGCTTTGGGGTGAGAACGAGGGGTGGGCTCTTTGTAGAGCTGCGGGCAGCTGGGACAGCAAATCCTCTTCCTCACTATTACAGAGACAGGGAGAGGTGAAAAAAGCCAAAAAGGACCCAGAGATATCTCTGATCTTGTCGCACCTCATCCGTCATGATAGTAGCCATTGACCTGCCAATCTCATGGTACTGCTGGCCTTTTCCTTCTGGTCCAAGCAAAATAAATAGGAACCTGGGCAAGGAAAACAAAATGAGAGAGAAAAACATGCCCTTGCTCAAAGGGCACCCAAGGAAATCCCCGGGAGCTCCCAGCCCAGAACACAGCTCTAGCGGGGACACATAGGCTTACTGAACTCTGTGGTGAATTTGAAACTCATCAAAACCAACCACGAATTGAATTTTTGGGCCAACTTTCATTAAAATTGGCCAACGGGTTTAAAAGATAGAGCAGGGAAGGGAGAAACGATGGCAAGGCTATGTGAGTGGGAGAAACGTGCTTGCTCTCGCTGGCTGCATTCCCTGGGGACGCCAAACCGATGCATGCAATTTGGTGTTGTTTAGTTGGGTTTTCTTTGAAATGAAAAGTTTGTGCTTCTTATCTGGACCTTATCGGGATGGGAACTTCCATCATGCCCGAGAGGAGGGCAGCTGGGGTCAGGCGGACAAATGCCACGAAGGGCTGCTGAAGGAAATCCAGCTCTCCTACGAGCACGTCAGATGCTTCAGCCCCGGTGGGAATTTTCTTCATGAAGTGCAGCTCCGCCTGGGCACGACAAGTGATTTTCAGGCAATTACTCCAAAAGCAAAGCCCACAGCACTCTGCAGCATGCTCTCCAGCCAAGTTTGCAAGAGCAAATCTGGCCCAAAAGGCATAAGAAAGCTATGAGTGTCTCACCTTGCTTAAATCCATTGAGCTGGTCTCACGGTTCACCCCGTTTTTATCTCCTGCAGTGGTGGCAGGGTGAGGGGTGAGTGTTTGGGCTGGTGGGAAAAAGAAAGACACACAGAAAAATGGAAAAAGAGCAATTGGGATGCCTCTCTTTTGCCAGGAATAGCCTAATGAGGACGAAGACCAACAAAAAACCCTCACCTGGGCCCAAAGCCCAACAAAAACCCCTCAACTGGGCCCAAAGCCCAACAAAAACCCCTCACCTGTGACCAAAGCCCAGGAAAAACCCCTCACCTGTGGCCAAAGCCCAACAAAAACCCCTCACCTGGGCCCAAAGCCCTGCAAAACCCCTCACCTGGGCCCAAAGCCCTGCAAAACCCCTCACCTGGAATGTCAAGGGGGTGCAGGTCTGGTTGCTTCCCACTCCCATCACCAAACAAGTGCAGAATGGGGAAAATGTTGCTTCTTTCCTTCTCATTCTGGTGGTGATGCTTCTTCAAGAGGAATTCTCGAATTTTCGCCCGTGGGCACTCATCAAACTCCTTGGACTGTTCTTGCTGGCCCAGGATCATATCTGGGGACGGCAAAGGGAAATTAAGCCATTGGAGCAGAAACCCCGTCAAGTCCCGACCCCCAGAGCCCCTGGGGAAGGCTGCGGCCACACAGGCCACCCTAACGCAGGCTCAGCCTTGCTTAGCAAGACGTTTTATCACAATTCAGCCTTTGGAGGGAAAGCAAGAATTTTCTTTTGCTAATAAACATCACCTAAGTGCTCATTTACTACTCTCAGGTAATTATTTCCCATTCTAAATAATGTAATTTTCTTGCCCAGTGTGGCCTTTCGGTCTGACTCTACACATTTAACCAAACTGGAAGCAATCTACAGCGCAGAGTTTCCCAGAGTTTCCCTGGCTGATCAACTGCCATTTGCCAGCGCCCACAATACCTGCAATCTCCTCGATGTTGTTGGCAGAAACGTCCAGCAGCACTGTGCCGTTGAGGATGCAGCTCCTCAGCTCAAAGAGGCTGTGCAGGGACAGCGTGGCCACGTAGGGCTTGCTCCAGCGCTCGCCACCGTCTTCCACGTCCTCCTCAAACTTCAGCCACCTGCGGGCATCGGGCACCATCAGCCCCATTGCGAGAAAACAGCCCCAGCAACGCAGCCCCTTGGGTAGAGCTGTGGGGTGGCAAGAGGGGAAGGCTCCACGCAGCAGCACCTGCAGCTGCAAAAGCCTCGCCTGCCGGGGAGCAGACAGCAGAGCCCGCGGGTGCTGTTGGCACAGGGTCTCCTCTCCTACCGCCGTCGGCAGCAGAGATTTACCTTGCCCTTTCCTTCCACTCAGCATCTTCACCCTCTTTCACGCAGATCTCATCCAGCTCAGTGAACAAATCATGGGGGGTGTGCTGCTCATCTTCCTCGGTCCCGAGGATGAACTGCACCCGCTGGGATGGGGTGTCTGGGGGCAGAAGAAAAAGCCCCATCCTGTTACCGTGCTTGAATATGGCCCGTCACGCTCACATGCAAAGTGGACATGGGTTCAGCCATAAATATCCGGCTGTCCCCTCTCCCCTGGCTCTGTCCAGGCTTGCGCAGAGCCACCAAGTAGGAAAAGCATCAGTTCCACCTCTGCAAAAGGATGGGCAGCTTTTCTTCCCCACATTTCCATTTTTAAAGCCAGGATCCCTCGAAGGAAGGTGACCCTAAATCCATTATGCATTTAACTACCTTAAAGAAAAAAAAAAACAAACAAACAAAAAAACTGGGCAAAGTTTGGAAAAAGGAGGTCTTGCTAAATAATGTCACTTTTCCTCGGAAGAGCAGCAAGTCACTCCAGCTAGTCACAGTGGACCTGTGTGCAGAAGACCCCATTGCCTACATAGCCCTGAGGAGTTTAGTGAAAACTGTGGTGGGACTTACAGTGGTAGCCCTGCTCCACTGGGGCAGAGTCCTTCTCCTGGTCACCTTCCTGGTGCTTCTGGCTGCGGGGTCGGTGGTGCCGGTGGCTCTGCCTCACTGGTGGCATCCACATGCCCACAGACAGGTTCCGGTGGCCTGTGAAAAAGCAGCATTTGCAGCATTCTTGGTATTGTGGGTATGGTTCATGCAGAGGCCACGGCTAAATCAGTGCAGCCGTCCCAGAAGGAAACACCCATTTCTCTTAATTTTGTTTTCACTGGATCATCAGAGACCTCTCCTTTTTTTCCAAGCCTGTTTTACTCGAGCTTTGCAACAACAGAGAAATAACAAGTGATGGCTCCTGGTCATCGGAAAGTGCCCTGAATTATCGAACCTCTTCCCAAATTCCAGATTTGGCTCGACAACACTCAGACTTGCTCATTGAGCAGTGACAGAAGGTATTTATTTATAAAATCTTTGTATGGCAGAAGGTGAGAAGATCAAATCAGTCCCATGATAAATCACAGCCCCATGCCTGCAGCTGTCAAATCAGTCTCCTGACCTCTCCAAGCCCAGGAGCAGCTGCTGTGGGAAAACAAACCACGCATTATCCAACCCTGTGGCTAAAACTCACACCGTGGCCTCTGCAGGGGCTTTTCCCCTCCATTTGAGAAACTGTAATAGTAAACAATGTGCAAATAACTGTGCTGCTTCATTAAGAAGCACAGCACGTTTTCCTGCATGTGAGGGGACACTGAGCAAGGGATGTTGTAGGGTCTTTGTGCAGTGGGAAGAGGCGCTGGGCTGGTGGCCCCTCTCTGAGCATCTCAGCAGAGACTCACCTTCCAACTCCTCCATCTCATAGTGAATCCTGACAACACTGCTCACTCCTCCCCGGTCAATTACCGCCTCTTCGTCATGTCTCTGTTCAGCAACGAGAAGAAGGGAAAAGTTGGAGATGGGTGTGTAGAGCTCCCTTACGTCCCCCCAGCCATCACCCACCCCTGCCTCCACGTCAGTCCACGAGGCCTCTGGGTGCCTCCTCCTCCAGGCACGGCCCTAAAAACACAGACTTGGAGGAGCTGTTTCTTCCCATACCCAAATAAAACAGCACGTGGCATCACCTAGATTGTATACAATGTGAGTTGGGAAGTTACTTACTACAGGGGGAGAGGCCTGAGGGTTTCACACTAGAAAAACAAACCTCCTGCCTCGTTCTTGCAGTTCCTTTTTTTAAAAAAACAAACAAACAAACAAAAAAACAAAGGGATTTCCAATGTGGGCGAAACCCCCCAAACCCTGCACTTTTTCTCACAGCCTTTATCGAAAGGCAATAGCTGCAGGAATCACCAGATGGCACTTGGCCCCAGGACATGGCCACCAACAACCTCCACAGGCCCTGAGGAACCTGCAAGGGTGAAGCTTCATCTTCAGCCCAACGAGGCTCAGGCTTCCCTTGCTGCAAGTGCACTTTCCACCAAAACCACGGGTTTTATCCTTGCAAAAGCCAAAGACTGACAGCCAATGCTCTCCTCGCCTGAAATACCACTGCTCTCACTGCCTGAAGAGCAGCCGTGTCTTAAAAGCCAAAGGAGAACTACAGGAGCAAACAGAAATAACTCTTTTTGCTGCTCTTTACCCCTTGACACCTGGGCTGGGGAAGGGGATGAGCAGGATTACTGTGTTCAAAGCCATAAAACCCCAGCCACGTCTCACACTTGAGTCACAACTGCGGCTTTGAAAGGGCCTCCTGGAGAACTTGGTGCATTTTTCCCCTCTTTAGGCTACACTTCTAATCACTATGCGTGTCTTAAATAGAAAGAAAATACATTGCTGCCACTTGGCTTCTCCTTCCTTGCCTCCATGGACAGTAACTAATCTGAGAAAACCAAAATCTGTTCACCCATACAAAGAAAAACTCTGCAATGCTCAAACACCCTTTAGTTTTCATCACTGTTCAAATTCTTTCTCTACTAAAGGCACAAAGTGGAAAGCTTGGGACTACTGAATTGCTGAGGTTCATCTCTGAAGCCTGCTGCTGTCATTACAGCAACCAAACACTATTCAAACAAAGGCATCTCCCCCTGCCCATCCTTTTGTGCCCTGGGGAAATGTCCATGGGGTTTTGGGGAGAGTTTTCCCACTGGTTGGGGGATGCTCAGCCCCTCGGCAGAGCCCCGGCCATGCTACCTGTAACTCTTCCAGCAGTGTCCTTTTGTAACTCTCATTCTGGTCCATCCTCACGTCAGCCACCACTTTTTGGGGATAACTGAACCTCCAGATCAGTCAGGGGGACAGATACCCCCAGGACACTGGAGCACCCCTCTCTGAGAGGAGCTCAGTGGCCCCCCGTGTGCACCATCTCCGGAGACACAGCCGTGGCCATTATGAAATCATCAACTGTGATGCGTAACCGGGTGGGTGTTGAAAGCCACGGCCCCCAAGACCCTTCCTGCTCGGAAGACTTAGTGGATGGGGAGGAACCAGCTCTGTTTTGAGCAAAAACCAGCCGGAATAGAGAAGCGGGGTATAAATGCTGTGTCCCACCAAGGCGAAAGGCATAAGCAGCATTTGGGTGTATTTAAAAGCGCAAGATGCCAAAATAAAAGAGAGATGCAAACTGTTGGGAAAATACATGTTACAGGGCAGCACTGATTTTCTGAAAAAAATCAGGGCGTTTCAGGAATGTCTCGTTTTGGCACAGCCTCCATCCTTTTGGTGCTTCAAGAAATCCTTGTTAGCCAGACCAAGTCCCAGCCTGGTACGGAAATGTCCAGATAAGCAACAGGTTTTACTCTCATCGCTCCCTCCAGCTATCTCCAGCACCACTTTACTTTATGAACTGAGGTAATCTGTCATTTCCATCCTACAAATTCATTTGCTCTAACGAACTTCCTTCCCAGCACTGCTCAGCACAAAGGTTAACCGCTGGGCTTGACGTGAAAGGCGACACGGGTGTAAAATAACACGGCAAAGGAAGGTGACACTGAGGTCTAATCAGTTCAAATCCCATCATGATCCAAACTCACTCCTTTTTTATTATTTCGTATTGAAGCCTCAGGAGGAACAGGAGGAAAGTGGACAATTGGGCACCTCTGGCTCTGTGACACGATGCCCTGAGCATCGCGTTGCCCTTCCCCAGCCCTTGCAGCACCCCAAAATCACATCAAGCCTTGCACGGAGATGCCACCGAAGGAAACGGCCCTACTCAGAACTCCCTTGGTCCTGATTAGGCCACTGCCATGGTCTTGGAGGGGTTATTTCACGTTTGATGCCGAGGGTGCTGAGGCCCTGTCACAGAGAGGTGGTAGGTGCCCCATTCCTGGAAACGTTCAAGGTCAGGCTGGATGGAGCTCTGAGCAACCTGCTCCCGCTGAAGGTGTCCCTGCTCACGACAGGGGCTTGCACTAGATAGACTTTAAAGGTCCCTTCCCCCCCCAACCGTCCTGTGACTCCAGGAACTGGTTCCTCGGTCTGCCCATCTGCTGGATTTGGCAAGTTGTGTGTTTGCAGCTTTGGTTTGATCAGAAAGTTGAGGCTCGGCCAGCTCCTGTGGCCTCAGGCTGCAGCTCCTTCAGCTGCCGGCACTGAGCTGCTTGTGCAAAATGACCCTGCGGAGAGAGAAACAGACTGCACGCAGCTGCTTGGGTAACGACCCCAGTCCCTGGTGCACGGGGGTTCTTGCACACCCACACCCGTTGCAGGGGGGTCTCTGAACACCCGTCTCCGTTGCACAGGGCTCCTTGCACGCCAGCAGCTGTTGCAGAGGGCGGTCCTTGCACACCCACACGCAGTGCCCCCCTGGAAGCTGCGTGGGAAGCGGAGGTGGCTTTGAGGCCTCTCAGCAGCAGCCAAAAAACCCTGGAGGTATCAGCCAGCGGCTGTGGCTCCGGGAGGGGCTGGAGAGTGGGGCTGGGGGGCTCCCAGGGGCTGGAGAATGGAGGCGGGGCTGGGAGAGTTGGAGATGGGGCCTGGGAGTTGCCTACCGGGGGAGCCCCGAGCCCGGGGGGGCTGCGAGCCGGGGGGGTCCCGCCCCTTTCCCTGCCCGCCCCAGGCCCCAGCCCGGGGTCCCGGCCGAAGCCCCTCGAGGAGCTGATTTGGCCGCCCCGAGGGACGGCTGGGAGGGCAGCCCCGAGCTGCTCGGCTGGGGCCTGGTTATTACTGCAAGAGTGGTGCTATTCAGTCGAAGCAGGGATTTGGGGGATAAGCAGCGTGCTGATTTTGTGTTAGCATTTGCAACTTAAATCATAAAACACTGTTTGTTCTCTTAACTCTTCAGAGTTAATGCATCATTATTAGTACAACAGGCAGCACGTGCCTGCGCAGCGTTTGAGGTTTTACTTGAAAATTACAGCTTTGGTTGCTTCGTGCACAGTGTAGCTCTTGCTTCTTGAATTTCACCCAGCAGCCATGCAGGTTCCCCCAGGTTTCTTGGTATTTTGCTCTTCTTCAACCTTCAGTTTCAGCAATCAAGAAAATGTTTTTTTTGTTTGAATAGTGTTTGGTTGCTGTAATGACAGCAACAGGCTTCAGAGATGAACCTCTGCAATTCAGTAGTCCCAAGCTTTCCACTTTGTGCCTTTAGTAGAGAAATAATTTGAACAGTGATGTTTCAATAATTTGAACAGTGAAAGGGTGTTTGAGCATTGCAGAGTTTTTCTTTGTATGGGTGAACAGATTTTGGTTTTCTCAGATTAGTTACTGTCCATGGAGGCAAGGAAGGAGAAGCCAAGTGGCAGCAATGTATTTTCTTTCTATTTAAGACACGCATAGTGATTAGAAGGGTAGCCTAAAGAGGGGAAAAATGCACCAAGTTCTCCAGGAGGCCCTTTCAGAGCCGCAGTTGTGACTCAAGTGTGAGACGTGGCTGGGGTTTTATGGCTTTGAACACAGTAATCCTGCTCACCCCCTTCCCCAGCCCAGGTGTCAAGGGGTAAAGAGCAGCAAAAAGAGTTATTTCTGTTTGCTCCTGTAGTTCTCCTTTGGCTTTTAAGACACGGCTGCTCTTCAGGCAGTGAGAGCAGTGGTATTTCAGGCGAGGAGAGCATTGGCTCTCAGTCTTTGGCTTTTGCAAGGATAAAACCCGTGGTTTTGGTGGAAAGTGCACTCGCAGCAAGGGAAACCTGAGCCTCGTTGGGCTGAAGATGAAGCTTCATCCTTGCAGGTTCCTCAGGGCCTGTGGAGGTTGTTTGTAATTTTCATGTAGTTTTTCTCTTGTTGCCCATTGACTGTAATGGGAAAATAAAAAAATAAAAGTCTCATTTTTCTCGCTGTGCTGCTTCAGTGTCTTTTGAAGGGGGCAGAGGGGTCGGAGGCATCTTTGGATCTTTTTAAGGGGCTTTTTGGAGGTGATGCGGGAGTGGGTAGCGCTGCTTTGGGGGAAATCCATCTCCCTGGGCTCTGGGGCAGGAATCCTACGATTGCTGTTGGCTCAGGAGAAGGATGGGGGAAGAAAACGGGGTTTCAGGCCCACGGTGGCATCCTGCATCCTCCTGGCAGGAGCTGCCCAGAGCAGGGGCTGTGTTGGATGAAATGTCCTGGGCAGAGTCAGTCAGGCCTGTGCCCTACAGAGCCGTCAAGCTTTCCCTTCCCTCAGTCTGCCCCTCGCTCTGGGAACGGCCCTGGGGATGGAGGGCTGGGGGACGGAGCGCCGAGGGAAACGGCCACCTTCATCTGAGCTCTGCCCAAACCGCTAGGGAAGGAGGAGAGCAACTGATGTGGTGATCAGATGTTTAAAGGTAGAAATATTTATGCATGCTCTTCTCACAGAAAAAGAAAACACAAAAAACCCCAAACCCAACAACCAAAGCAACACACCTTTTCCCAAGAATTCAGATCACCAGCCTCAGTTCACATTCCCATCCATGACACACCCTGAAGGCTTTTCCCTTCCCACTTGTACCTGTGACCCTAAGGCTGAATAGGAGAACTAGCAGAAGTAGGTAACACAATGGATTGTAAAGGTGGCAAACTTTAAGCACTTGCACCTCTGACTCCAGTGTGCTTTTTGAGTGTAGCTGGTTTGAGTCCCTGGCTGTGCTAGGAAACAGGGAAACAGAGGAATAGTTCCAAAACAGAGAAATGGTCACGTCAGCAGCGAAAGATGATCTTAGCAAACATAGTTTGGATGAAGCTGCAAGGACCCAAAGGAACATCAAACAATATGGGAAAAGAAGAGCTTCCAGTAATCCGGATGACATACTGGGGCTACTTGTCCTGAAAGTTGTAAAAATCATCAAAAGGTCACAGGGTTAATAATCACCATGGGCAACTATTTGTAATCCATAAATTGGTATTTAGAATTTATTTATAATCTGACAGATGGGAAGAACCTTGATTTCAAGCTTGCTCTATAGCTAGCCGTCAAGTGCTCCATTTGCAAGAGTGACCTAGTAATCTGTACGCGCTTCGGAACAAATGAGGTGGACACCCTTCAGCTGTGTTCCCTTCAGTGTCTTCTCAAGGAAAACAAGAAGTCACTCCTGTCAGAGATTCTTGCTGTGTGCAGAGGAATATCCCTAACCCATGGAAAACTTTGTAAAACATACCAGAACCACCTGTCAGGTAACAAATTATCTCTATAGAATACCTCTCAAGTGGAAAAAATTGCTTGGCCGCCATTTGGGATATTTGGGGCATGTAGGAGGAGGACAGCAAAACCCCGTAAAAATGCAGAGACTCCTGCACATGCTCAGAAAGCGCTAGGTATGTATGGATCCCTGTCTGGAACGTGAAATGCAGAGAACGTTCAATACTGCTGGTGTTCTTGTTCCTATCCAAGATACCCCTGGAAGAGACAATCTGCAGCCCAAGTATACTGGCACATGCAGAGGACAACAATTCCTCAGCTATATAAATTCCTTTACCTTTTAATCACCAAAATTACAAGTTCTGCTGTGTGTCTGACACCACTTAAATATGTCTGAAAAATGTCAGTATTTCTGAAGCTTAAAGAGACAGTCTAAGAGGAGTGTTAAAATTTATCCCCTGATAAAGTTATAAATCAAAGGAGATCTTGGAGCTGTGTAGAGGTATCACTCTAAAAAGAATCCCAGAGGGAATCTGATTATATGAAGAAACTATCCTTTAAAAAAAAAAAACAAAAAACAAACAAAAAAAAAACAACCAACCAACCTAACCAACCAAAACAACAAAACAAAACACCAACCACAAAACCCCCAAACCATCTCTTCAGTGAAAGCAATACTCACAGTATCACAATATTGGGTTTTCATATCCATGGGGTTGCATAGGCATCCTGACAGTTTGTTTCCAAGAGAAAGATCTTATAATTGATTTAAGGTCTAGGCAGATCCGTGTATGATTTTCTTTCTTTTCTTTACCCTCCGCTCTAAACCAAGTAATGATATAGTTATTATTTGGGCTGCTGGTTTTTTTTTTTAGTTTGACTTGGTTTTACTACTTTATCATCCGTCTGATAACAAAAATTACTTCAGTGTTACTGGTAGACAGCGTGGTGCTGCGTTCCTAAGGGTATAGCTTAACAATAGGAGCAGCCACTGGCCCCTGCAACATCCACAACCCCAATGCAAGAACCAAGGAAAACTGGGAGATGGGTTCTCTGCTGACTCTCTGATAAATACATGGTCCAGTCATGCTATTAGATATGGTAGGAGACACACAGCCTGGTGAAGCGCATGGTCTGGGCATCTCTATCCATCCCTCACTGGTGGGGCTGCTTTTCTGGGCTTGTTCCCTGTGCTGTCACTGCTGTCACCTCTTCCTTCCCAGTCTCGCAGTCCACAAGACGTGCCAGACTGCTGGGGAGGAAGCCAGTGGAGAAAGCAAGGATTTGAACACTCAGACTGGGAGGAACACATTTCAACCCTGGGACGTAAAGGCTGTTGGGCTTAGTTACTGGTGACTCATTTCCCACCAGGAAGCCACAGATCAGCATATTTCAAGCACTACTGATTCCTATTATCTGTTATGCTGAGAGAACGAATTGGAAGAAATTAAAAACACTCAAACCACAGTAAGAAAATAGCCAAATAACATATGGGGACATGAAATAAGCCAGTCTTACTACACTACACATAAACGCATGCTACAAGTAAAACAACACCTGAAATTAGAAGAGTATTTGGTAGTGTTTTTTACCCAACTGATCATCCACATTCATCTCCCAGTTGTCCACCGTGAGCAGAGAAGCGCTGCTCATAATCCTAACCTGCTGCTGTTTCTCAAAAAAAAAAAAAAAAAAAAAAGACTGTAACCTTACTGGCACCCTGCAGTACACAGGGACAGAAAAATCTTCAGTATGCTAACTTCCAAAAGATACTACTTAGTCAAGCTCCTGGGGTCAGGGGGGCTGGGCTGTGGTGGTTTGGGTGTTTTGATGTTGTTTTGGATTTTTATCATAGCAGAATCTAGTGAGGAAAGACATTACAACAGAGAAAGAGACAGTAATTGTCTCTCACTAAATCCAGGAATTTATATTCTTTCTCTTGGATGATCCTCAAGAAGGTCATTCCTTTCAAGGGCTTCCACTCTCCTTCCTGATTAGACTAACAAGAGTACATCAGGGAAGAAAATTTCTATAATAGGTGATTTATGAAACTAATTTTTCAGATTGGGAAAAAAAAAGCCTCTGCAGATTAATATTGACAATAAAATGCTATTTCCAAACTTTCTCATAGCACTAACGCACTCTGGATGCTACTTCAGTAATTTTGCATATGAATTAATAAGCAGGATGCACTCTGTTATTATCGGTTTACAAACAGGTGTATTTTCTGCTTTGCAAAATAAAGTCTTTGCCATGTGAAAGATACAAGATAATAAAATTTCCTTTTTATTTCCCAAGTCTCATATTGGTTTGTGCTGGAGGATAAGCTTTAGTATTTCCACTATACAGAGAGAGAATTTAAGCCATAAGAGAAATATTATTTGCCTTAAGAATGTACTATGAGAACAGGCAGAATCGGGCACAAATTCTCCTGGTTTATTCTACAGCGTTCTGCCTACTGGACCATAAAGCAGCTTGTTATTTGACAATTTTTTATTTTTTAAGTACTGGGAAAACCCCCTTTCTCGCCAAGTCCCATCCAGAATTACTTTCTAAGCTACCACTCCTACTGCATTGGTTTATGTTGGTTGTGAGGGAAGGAGTTAATTTGGAAAGCACTGTTAAATTTAAAAATTGCCTAACATCATTGGACGAGATCCTAACCCTTTTCAGGTCCACATCAGAAATCCCACTGACTTCAGTAGGACCAGGATCAGACTCATTTTACACACACGCACAAAACTCACAGAAAAAGTATTCAATCAAGAATGCGGTCCTCATCTAGTACTCAAATGAAGCCATGACCCAAAACCTCCACAACTTTGGACAGTCTTACATGAAAAGAGGGAAATCCTATGAGAAGGATGCATACTAGAACTGATTATCAATAACGACAGCATCAGTTTACACTTAACTGTAACAGGGGAATCAGTATTACAGCCTATAAGCTTCTGACTTTTCTATTCACTAATATAATCATTCCTATTCACCTGCTCATACTTCTAGCTTTCAAATCCTTCCCAATAACTTGACACATCCACATGTGTTTAAAAGCTACTCTAATCTTCTCCTTTGGGGCTTTTCCTGGGTTCAGCTAGGACATGGTTAATTGTCACCAGGAGCTGGGAGGAGGCACAGCCAGGACAGGTGACCCCAAAGAGCCCAGGGGATATTCCCCACGTGCTGACATCGTGCCCAGTGTATAACTGGGAGAACTCGTGGGGCAGGGTTTGGCTGCTCTCAGCAAAACCCCCAGCACTGCACAAGTGAGAGAAGGAGACGTGCTGGGACTTGTCGGCCACAGGCCTTGGGAAGAATGAGACAAGAACTTCGTGTAGGAGGAACTGTAGGGGGGGCTGACTTGGTGTCTGTGTTAAGGTTGGGCGCTGTGGAACAGATGTCCTGTAACTGGGAGTTAAGAGAGCCCCGAGGAGGGGGGCGGTCCGGCGGGGCGGGGTGGGGGAGCGCTGCTCTGGGTCGCAGCCGGGGACGCTGCGGGGCGGGCTGGCCGGAGCCGCGCTGTGGGGGGCGAGGGGCTGAGCTCGGCGGGAGAGAACAGCTGTGTCCGCGCAGGGTGAGCTGCCTCCCCAGGGCATGCCGGGAGCTGTAGTCTTACGGCACTGGGAGGTGGGCGGCTATGCTGTGCTTGCCCCAGGGCATGCCGGGAGCTGTAGTCTTACGGCACTGGGAGGTGGGCGGCTATGCTGTGCTTGCCCCAGGGCATGCCGGGAGCTGTAGTCTTACGGCACCGGGAGGTGGGCGGCTATGCTGTGCTTGCCCCAGGGCATGCCGGGAGCTGTAGTCTTCCAACTCGGTGGCTGACGCCCATGCTGTGCTTGCCCAGGGGCATGCCGGGAGCAGTAGTTTTTGCGGACCCTGCTGTCAGACAGCTGCGGAGCTCCCTGTGGTGCGCGGCACCCCCGGCGCGGCTCGAGGCGTAGTTTTGGTGCCGGTTTTGTGTGTTTTCCTGCGAGTTCCCGGCTGCCCCCCAAAAATGCGGTCCTGCAGCCCCGGGGCCGCGCATGCGCGGTGGGGGCGCGCTCTGCCGCCATCGCTGCTGCCTCCGCGGTTACCGGCAACGTGACGCGGCGGTGCTTGCGGAGCGGCGCCGCCTCGCCCGGCGCTTCCTCCCGGTAAGGAGCCGCCGCCGCCGCCGCCCCCCCGCCCCCCCGCCCGCGGTGCCGCCGGGCGCTCTGCGCGCCGATCGCGGTACTGCAGCCCGGCGTTCGCGCGCCGGCTCTGGCCCCTCCGGCGCAGGCGCGGTGCGCGGGAGAGAGAGGGGCGGGGCGGCGGCGGCGGGTGGCGGTGAGGCGAGCGGGCCCCTTGGGCGGGGGGGGGGTGTCTCCTGGGGGCGGGGGGGGCGGGAAGTTTAGATGTCTCTTGTCTTCTCCAGCACTGAACGGCCGTTCCTCAGTCATTCCGTCAGCTGAGCAGAGAGAGACCCATGTCCGAACAAGCAATCTTAACAGACAAAGGGCAGGTCTCAACCCCCAGGTGCAACATTTCCTGAGGCGGCGGGGGGGGGGCGGGGGCGCATCTGGTTTCCTTAGATCACAGGGAGCCCCCCAGACAAGGTGCAAGGGGGCCAGAGAGTTTGCCCAGAGATTTTGCAGGGTGTGTGGTCGGTGCTCAGGGCGTCCAGAGAGTTTACAGGGGGGCCAAAGGAGGTTGCATGGTGTTTTCTTGGGGTTCAGGGCACCCAGACAGAGCGCAGGGGTGCCAGACAGGGTGTATGGGGTCTGGTCAAGGTACAGAGGGACTGTCTGGGGTACAGGGGGTCTGGTTGGGACGCAGGGGTCTCAGACAGGGGGAAGGGTGTCTTGTTGGAGTGCAGGGGGTTCAGAGAGGTTTCAGGGGGTTCTGGTTGGGGTGCAGGAGCTCTGTTTGGGAAACACGGGACCCAGACAATTTACGGGGGTTTTGGTTGGGGTGCGGGGGTGTCGCGGATGAAAGTATGAGCACGGTGGTGATTTACCAACAAATCAAAATTTATTAATAACTAATAGTACTTGATCATTAATCGGTTTAAATACATACAAAATAATTCAGGAAAATGTTGTAATTAAAATAGCGACTTATCTACAGATTCTAAGATGACAAGATTCACTCTAACTTACTATACGTTATCTTAAATCAGTACATATATGTACACATATCTGTGCGCACATACACAAAGACAGAAACATGCAGACACACATGGCAAAGTATTTGGATCCAATAAAATAAATGATATACCCACACACCAATAGGCAGAGGAAGAGGAAGAGAAGCTAGCTCAAAGTAAAATCTCCCTCCTCGAGTTTAGAGCAAATCCTCACAATGTTAGCGGTCGCCATTGTGAAAGAACTTATCCACCCAAAGCAGATAAGCAGGCACTTCTTTATTCCAGCACTGGGGAAGACGGGGGATAACTCCGCCAAAGACGTGTTCGCCAACAGGTACAAAGCACAACATATTTATACACTTTTTCAGCAGTCATGGTTACATAAGATCAACAAAATTCATAAAGTTTGAGTTGACCTTAACAATGATTGGCTTTCAGTTACCTCACCTTACCTCTATTCCTATTCTACAGAAATCATTGGTCATCTTTACTGATGGATTTAAATAGAATGGGGGGAGGGCAATGATTAGCACATTCATGTTATTTCCTGGGAATTATTATCATATGCAGATGTCCCTAACGCATGCGTGGTTATACTGGACGGGGGTCCTCTGGTGGTCGTCGATAGTCTTCATCACTCTGTCGGCTGATTGAACTCCATCCCTGCGCATGCTCACTCCACCTTTGGTTAATGTTCACCTCTCCCTTGGCCGATCTTCCCAACCAAACCAGTTTTCCTCTGGTACCTATTGTTTCAAGTCAAGATCCATAACCAGTACCCAGTGTGTTAATTCAGAGTCCGTAACGATTCTCATAGCGTTCAAGGCACAGAGCATACTAGTTGCTTAATCCTAAGGGCCTTAGTGTACTTTCTATTCTCAGAGCTACTGTAGCTTCATGTTAAGTCAAAATCATACTTTTAAACTAAAATCAAAATAATATTCTAATCGAAGCGTCCTTGACATTCTTCATGTATCAGCAGCTGCGAGCAGCTGCAGGCAAACCCTAGTGGGGCCCAGCATCAGCGAGGCAGCATCAGCCCTTAGAACAGGCTCTGATCGTACAACTGCTCGGGGGGCTCAGGACCCTTGTCTCTGAGCCATTCTCCAAAACCTGTCTAGCTGCTTCCTGTCACTGGGAACACACAAATGTTCAGCAGAGCCAGAAGAGCGCTTTTAGGGTCACAGCGAACTTTTCACACACCATTCTCGACTGAAATTTGGTTTTCTTGATCAAGTTCTGCCGTCACTAATTGTTTTTAAACGTTGCTTGGATGGTTCTAGTTCAAAAATTTAGTTCTTCAGCAACATCTTACAGTTTAACACTCTTAGTAATTCATTAATTCTTTATGTTCTGTGGCATTACCAAAGCCTGAAGAGGAAAACTGATCGAAAATCCTGAAACAAAATCTAGAACTTAAATTATAACTTTCATGAAACAGTGAGTGGCTGTTTTCTGCACTGCATATGAGCTGCACCTTTGTGTCCATTAATTCTTGGCATTAGACTGACACGTGTCTGGTGGCCACCATAACCAAGTCTGCCTTCCTAGCTCACATCTCTTCATCCAGTTCTTCGGGAATGGTCAGAGAAGTATAATATGTTAGAAAGGTATAATTAAGATTTTGAAAGATTAATACCTGTGGTATTTAGTGAAATTGCCTTCTAGTGGAATGCTCATTATTACTTTGGTATAACATTTCTGCTGTTAAAATGGTAGTGCTTGTAAAAGTGCAAAATCAGTGTCAGACGTTTGGTTTATATACATTTTATACCAAAAAGAACCCCATGGGAGAAGCAATCAGGTCAGGTTTTTTTCGCCTGGAATTCTTATGTGTAAGTCTTTAAGTATTTCCATGTCTGGTGTAGTTAGGATCTGCTTGCTGGCTTTTGGCTAAGCTCTAAATAATTCTGTAGTCAAAAGAATCTGTTCAGGTTAATTGGAATTTAAACCACTACCTGGGTACCAAGCCCCAAAGCATGTTTTTTGAAAAGGTGAGAAACCTTTCTAGCAATTTCCTATATTTTTCTTTATTATTGAAACTCTTTATATTTAGGGGATTTCTTGGTAGAAGGCATCTTTGAACACAGCAGAACTTGGAGTCGATGTTTCTTGGATCACAGTTGGAATCCCCAAGTTTGGTACAGCAAGGGAGGTGTTATGTCATTTCAGCTGCATACCCCCCACTTAAAAACATACTTACTTTTTGCCTTTTACCAGTTGTGGAAGCAGATAAGCTCTCTACTACATGTTTGGCTGATGCTCTATGTGTTTCGATTAAAAGAAGCCCTGTAGCAACATGTGTTTGTCACCGGCAGAGGCCAAGTGTAACTTTAGGATACACTTGTGGGAACTTGTAGGAGCAGCCATCAAGATAACCGACAGGCAAGGACAGTGGAGCGTGAGTGTCACGTCAGCGGCTGCTGGTGGACTCTGGGCACCCTCTGTGTGAGCAAGTGCTGTGAAATTGCAGGGGAGTGGCTGATCTGTGGAGAAAGGGTAGAAGGTTGCCTAGTGGCTGGTAGTAATTTTAAGACTGATTTAATGCTTTTGCCATAATAACCGCAAGACTTAAGAAAGCAGCTTTGGTGTTTCATGCTTTCCCTGCTTTGAGACAAACAGAAGTTGTTTCGCAGCTTCCAGCATGTTTTCCTTTGAAGCAAATGAAATTAAAATCCAGAGAGACTTCATCTGGTATAGTTTTCTTTCCTGTGAAGTATATCTCTTATATAAACAGATTGAGACGCGTGTTCTATTGGAGTTGGGACTGCAAGATTTATACTAGAGAAGTGGCAGATCTCAAAACCAATATTATGTACATGATCAGCCTCATAAATACTGAGCTCAGGATTCTGACTCTGTGTTGCAGCTGTCAAGCATCTTTCTGAAATCAGGGCTGAAGAGCCAGCATGCCACTAGTGGGAGAAGAAAAGAGAGCAGCACGTGGAGTTGCACAGAGAATGAAACTGGTGAGTGTGGAAAATGAAAAAAGGGAAAGGTGGTCAACAAGTTGAAGGGGGAGAGTAGCGTAGTGCTTCTTTTGCAAGCTAAGTAGATGTGTTATTTGCCAACCGTGTATATTATCTACAAATCTAGGAATATAGGGAAATTGAAGGAAAAAAATAGTAATGTTACGTTTTTTAACAGGTGACAAAAAGGTAGATGAAAGTGCTGAGGGAATACCTACTTTAAAACTGATTTTTTAAAAATATTATCATATTGCTGGAGAATGTAGCATGTTTATCTGCTTGTCATGTCTAAAGTAGCATACTCTTCAAAACAGTAACAACATATCTCTCTTGAGTTTCTAACTGTTTTAAAAATGTATTTGGGCATTATTATAGTTTAAAACAGAAAGCAAAACAACTGCAAGATGTATTTTCTGTTCTGTTTAGGAGAAGCAGAAAGGAAAATAACCTTGTTCACATTTTCCTGCAGATGTGTCACTTGACTATAGAATGATATGTTGCACAATAGATACTTACGAAAGTATTATTCGATAGTGCCATATATTGCCAGAAAAGCAGAACTAAAATGAATATTTTTGTTATGTGGATGTCTAAATTGAGCAGAAAAATGAAGGGTACCTGTTCCTCTTACTTATTATGAGGTCATTTTAGCTATGTGGATTTAAGTTTGACCTTGTTTTTATGGCTATGAAATGGACTACATCTTTAAAAAATTGATTTATCACACAGTAGCATCAGAGAGGGTGTGATAAACCAATATTCCAGAAAGCTTGCAACTGTTGGCATGTGGCTGAATGCCAGTGGCTGTATTTTAGATAAACCGATTAAATCTGATTATTCCCCCTCCTCCATTTTACTGATGACATTAAAGTTCATGTAACACACTAGATTGATCCTAATAATCCTAAAACTGCTTTAGATTTAGCAAAACACTGAAAATTAGTTTTTTTGTGGTGCTTGAGTTTTATGTTAAATGTGAAGAGAATAAAATGTTTTTAACATGCATCCAAAAATTCTATGAAAAGCAGCTCGCTAGTGGTGAAAATCCTTTGAAGACAAAGACTTAATGATCTGCATGCATATTAATACTTAGCATCCTGTACCAGGTCTTTCAGTTGGCAAGCATGAAAGCTGATTTCTCCACCTGCCCTTCAAAGGACAATATTTGTTTCATTATAGAAGTCTAAGTAATGCTAATGGTAAGAATAGTGAAAGATTTGTAGGGGCAGCCTGCGATTGATTTTAAGTTTCAGTTTTGGTTAGTAGCATTACTGATCCTTCTTACTGCCTCAGTGCTGTTATTCACCTCTACCAGAGAAACACCCTACCCTAAAAAAATACACATTTTTGGCTTGTAATCTTTAAGGGAAAGAAACATGTCTTCTCTGTGCTGTTTTCCTCATGAAGCATATAGATGGCAAGATAAGAGCAATTTGGAAGTAATCTGTTCTTTCTCAAGTCCAGGCAGGTGTTTGTCAGGAGTTTATTGCTGCTTCACATAACTAATATTCTTTGGCTGAAGCTGTCCTCCATCCTCAAAGATAGGTGAGTCTCTAGTTACCCCTGCTGAACTTCTGAAGTAGATTGCTGCAAAGACTCAGGGAATCAAAGGAATCAGCTCTCGAGTGTATAGGCATCTGTAGATTTATAAAAGGTTCGGGAGAAACAAAGGATGACCTACCCATCTCTTGACCAGAGAAATGATGAGCTGAAATCTAATTTAGCCAAAGGGAGTCTTTCTTTCTTGATTAAAAAAAAAAAAAAACCAAAAAAAAAAAAAGAAAAAACCCTTCAAATGATATCTAACTTCCTTTTCTATTAGTTGCATCTTGGACCTGAATTTGAGGTCGCTTGTATTCTCCACTGATCCAGGATATATTTTCTTTTCCAAAACCTGTTTTAACATCTTTTTTTCCCCCTGTATATTTGTGTTTAGCCCCTCTTTTTCATTCTGAATGCTGCGACAGCCAAAAGTAGCATAAAACCTTTAGCAATTATATTTTGCAATAGGGAGAAACAGAAGGATGTAGCTGCCTAATGGTTTACTTCATGGATGGATTTTGTATGCTCTCTTTTCTTGAATTTCAAGGCTGCACCTGTTCTGCAGTCTCTGTTCCTATACATTTCACCTTCTATTTTGTGTTTGTAGCTACCTGATCTCTTGTGTTCCTTAGCATTTTTCCACGTATTTTCTTGTTTTCTTGTTCATTCATCTGTCTGTCATCTATCCACAGAATTAGAGCATCTACCAAAGCCAACAAAGTTTCAATTCTTGGCGCAAACTTTAAACCTCCTTTATAATTCTCCCTAATGCAGATTCTGCTGATGTAAATAGGAAAATACTGTTCAACAATTGAATTATATGTCTTTGTAGGAGTCTGTGTGCCCTCTTCTAATGAAGTTTTGTGCTTAAAAAAGTTACATACAAAATGTATGAGCAAAGGAATCGTGGCCAGCAGAGCACACTTCAGCTTGAAAATGAGAATAGTGCTGAAAGCGGTGGTCTAAACGCCTTTAATTTGGCTATCTTTGTCTAAAAATGAAATATTTTTTAAAAAATGTTAATCAGAATCATTTAGGCAGGAGGTATTTGCATTATGGTTGGTGCTTTGTTGGCATTGTCTTCTACAAACTATGTATCTGCTGCCAAACAGCACTGTACCATGGAAGAATCTAGGAATTGAAGGAGAAAAAAAGCTCCCCATATAGTCTAAAGGGTGACTTTACTGAAAGAAATGATAGCTTTGTTGTCACCTTTTATCACCTAAAATTGAACGCAATAGCGTATGTTAAAGCCATCTTTTGAAAACTTTTTTCCCCCAAAGTGGGTGCTTCTGATTTCTTTCTAATTGTGATTTGATTTATTCTTCTAATGGAAAAGCAACTGAAACTGGAGAACACTGCAACCTATTAATTGATTTTTGAGAATGATGGTGTAAATAACTTAACACCAAATACTAATCTATTTCTCCTTTTAATCCAGCACTGATACTGTTTTCTTGTAATACAATACTAACATATGATTATACCTGCCATTAATGCATTTAACAATAGATGACGAATTTTATTAAGAATGCTTTCATGCACTTCCATTTGCTCTGGTGTAAATCAGAAGTTACTGCCTTGAATTGAAAAGATTTATTCTTGTGAAAGAGCTTACTGGTGTAAATTAGGGAAGTCAAGACTGACAAGTGGTGATGTACCACATTCTGTTACAGGATATTTAGATTCTGTCTTCCACTGAACAGCAGGATACCGTTTTTAGCCTTCTTGTTGAATGCAGAATCACTTTTCTATTTATGAAGTGAGCCTGAACAGAGTGCTCTCAGTATTGGCTGCTCCTCTGTTACTCCACCTACAGAAGATATTAAGACACATGCTCATCCTTGTAGGGCAACCAAAATACTTTCCTCTAAACAAATCAGTCTGTGATTAGTGGAATTAATGAAGCTTCACTGTCTGCAGATTCCTGTCCTCCATCCCTAATCCCCTCAGCAACCCTTCCACCAGTGTCTCTCTGCTCATATTCCCTCTGATCTTCCCCTTTCCAATACAGTAATGCCAGCTCCTGTTTTCCTCCATCCTTTGACCCTTCCTGCAATACCTTCCTCAGGTTCCTCCTGCCCTGTCACCCCCAGCAGCATTTCTGCCTGGCCCTGGGTGACTTGGGGGCTGAGGGGCAGCTGGGCCACTGGCAAACAGTCATTAACCTCAGATTTCACTGCTCAGAGGTGGTACTAATTCATGTCTCTTGGTTTACTGCCAGATTTTCTCAGAGATCAAGGAAATTTAATACCTTCCAGATGACTGCCCTCTGTTAAATTGCATAGAAATGGATCAAGAAATATTAAAAGTGTGTGTCTATTCCCGCCTCCTTGCTCCAGCGATCGGTCTTTCTTAGACTAATTTTAACTTGGTTTTGCTAAACTGCTGCTCCTTCTCCTATCTTGCTCTCTTGTTTCTCAAATGAAGTGCCGTGGTTACTGCCCTTGTAATGATATTATTACCTGGACAGAAAGCCAGCACAGAGCAGCAAAGGAGGGCTTCGCCCCATCGTATTTTTAAGGGCATGTATGCAGCTGCCATTCATAAGGTTCCAGACCTTGCACCTGAGGACAGTATGCAAGGATTGCCTTTGAGCATACCACAAAGAAAAGAGGAAGATGAATACTGAAAACCTTTAGCTTTTAATACTTGAAAATCCTATCTAAGTGAATTTATGCTCACTTAGGTGCTGCCCAGTATTCAGTATGTGAATGCCAGTATACTCAATTGGGGACTTTAAGCTCAGTTGCTGCACTGAGTCTTTTCTGTGTTTTGTAAAAATGAAAGCATGCACAGTATTTTTCATCAATAGGTATTTAATTAACGAGTCTGCAAGTTTTAAAATTGTCTTGTTTGCTCAGTGCAGAGCACTGGCAGTGGAAATAGCTGGAAGCAGAATTATTACACTGGGCTTGGCAAGATGTCTTTTTGCTTAGCCTCACAGCACCAAATCTCCTGGTGAATATAAAGTTGTTTTTTCTACATGTTACCTTCCCAAAAGTTAATTTAAAACAAAACAAAACAGATGAAACACGCACAAAAACAAACAAACACCACCACCAACAAAAACCCACTCATTTATCTCAGTAAAATATTTTGGTTTGCTTTGCTTTAAATTTGATTTTTAGACCGTGATGGTTACTATATAAATATACTGAGTGGAAATTTTTTGCAAATGAACAAACCACAGTCAGCAAATCCTATGCTGTCAGAGAAGGTGCATATGGCTCTTTAGGGACTAATGAACAAATTAAATTATTTCCGCTAATGAGGCCCTGTTGATAAGCCATAAGCATTTACAAATGCATGTTTTATTGCTGTGTTGTATAAAGGTCATGGCTTAAGCCCTAAACTAAGGAGTTGACCGGTATTATAAGAGGCAATGACAAGAAAGAATAAACAGAACCTCCATAAAAAAGAGCAAATCTGTCTTTAAACTACAGTTTGTAAAAGTAAGCTGGCTTCAATCTTATGATAAATATAATCCTTATCTAAAAGGCAACTGGCAGCTTGCTTCTTAATTATCTGAATATTTGGGACTGCCTGCTTTGAAATTATTTCGGAAGCAACATCCAACTCATATGCCAGACTTTTTTATCATTGTTTTGTCGTTTGGGGTTTTTTTAATGAACCGTGAAGGTTCTTGCCTTTTCCACTTTCATAGCCAAGAGATGATAAGACTTGAAAGAATGTAATATCAAAATATTTTGTGCTTTAGAAATACTGTATTTTTATTTGTGTATTTCTGTACCTCATTCTGTAAAGGTAATGAGGTAAAAATTAAAAAAGATGCAATAAAAAGATGTATTAATTTCTCTGAACTGCTTAATGAGGCCTAATATAAACCTGAATTTCAAATCACCTTAGGGTTGTCCTATGCTCTCATTTCAAATGACAGTTCTGTCTTGCGACTCAGCTGGCCTTTTATTTTGTGCCACAAATTAGCAAACCACGTGGTTTTATGTCACTGTTTTATTAGAGCAGTGCTTGGTACTTAGAGAGGGGAAAATTGCGTTACAGTAGTTTTGTTAGAACGCAACCCACATGGGGTGGAGAGGGGGAAATAAAGGCAGTTTCAGGCCATGTTTAGATATTTTAAATATGGGTAAATATAGAGGACTGAAAAATTCCTTCTGGTTTTCCACACTTCCTAACAAGACAAAGTGCAGTTTATGCTCCTTAGCAGCAAGGTATCAGCATCAAGGTGCTACATGGCACTTTAGCAGCCAATACTGTATAGCAGTAGAGAATGTATTTACAGGTGAAACAGTTCTTGAAATGTATGGTGCTTGTGATACTTTGAAAATGGTGTCTGCTGTCTGTAATTGAAGAAAGGGGATCTACTAAAACCGTGAAAGGACAAAAAGCAACTGGGAACTGTGCAGGGTTTTTTTTTCAATCTGCTGTTTGCTCAAGGGGATTAGCATCTCCTAATGACTGGGTTCTTTTGTCCTGTGGCTTGATTCTGTATCTCTAAGTCCTATCATTTTGTCAGTCTAAATGAATAAGGTAATACCTAGAGTTTGTTGCACTGAATTAGTATTCTGGGGTTGGATGAATAGTCTGGGGAAAGGTGAAAATATAACTTGGCTTGACCACAGGGTCAGGATTCTGAGGACCACAAGAAGAATACCATGAATCACAGCTTTTTACCTTAACTGGTCAAAATCCCAGTGTGCTTTGATGGGACCTGAAGAGAATGAACACTGCAGTGGAGATCACCTTCCCTTCCCCTGCCTGGGCAGTTTGGAGGAATGCTTCCCCTCCCAAGGCCATTCTTGTCTGCGAAAGGAGATGGAACATTTCCCGTGGCAGGCACCTGGCTGTTTATCACTGTGTCAGAAATCAAGCTGTTTCAAGATGTTTAGATTTTGTTTCCTGTTGTCGTCTCTAGTGACAAAGTACCATATGTTGTTACCACTTTTTGCACTTCTGACTAGCTTTGTCTTACTGTCCTTTATAAGTCACGTCTACTGATGACTTCTCTTTTATTAATATGGTTATAGCAGTGTTCAGTGTCTGCAGAACTCATAGCTAAACCTAGCTAAGAAAAGGTCCTAGTTTTGCACGGTCTCAGCCCTGGAACGTTTCAGACTAGTGAGGTGAAACCTAATTCGTCACCCTGACTAGATGGACTGAGATTTGTGTCCCGGGTTTCAACTGCGAGGAAAACAGGACTTGGGAAATTGTGTCATTCTAATTTTTTTTGTGTGTGTGTGTGTTGTACAGACTGCTGGGGTGCATCTGGACAGGACAGGTTCCAGAGCACGCATGCTTGTAGCATAGTAAGGGTAGTGTCGCAGCTCTTAGCTGAGGGAATTTTAGCTAATAATAGTCCCAGCTGACATGTGGCCTGTATGTTACTTTTTATTCTTGATTACACCAACTTCTATGTCTTGTCTTCTCCTGTGGTTTAAAAAGCTTTCCTATATTGCTCGTTTTTCTCTCACCAGATAAAACCTGTGTAGTTGGGTGTGTTTAGCTGTCATTTGGGCTGTGATCTGTCTCCTGCATCCTGTGAGAGCCCATAATGTATCAGCTTTCTGCTCAGCATCTACGGGGGAACAGATGCCCTCAGGACCAGCCTCCTGCTATTCTCTGTCAAGTACCTTGTCAGACATGGGCTTCCTTGCTGACATTCATGGTAGAAATCATTGCAGCTATGACTGGGTGTGTCCACCTGAATGAGATATCTGGGCTCCCACTGTAGTCAAGGGAAGTTCATTTGGTTCAGGGGTGGGGTTTAGGGCATGATTGAGCTTACCTAATAAAAGCCTTTCCTCTAGGATGTGTCAGGTCAGCCTTGAATGCATTGATTGCACAGGCTGTACAGGAAGTCTGAGGCAAATGGACTTGGTATTGGCAGTCCTATTGTAGACAGAACCTCTGCGTAGATGAATCCGTCTCTTAGTGTTCTATGTGTGATTGGACACTGCTCCGAGAGTCCTCTGCCTTGCCTTCATTTGCTGTATTCCACCTGGACTAGGGAATGAACAGGCCCAGGCTGCAGAACAGTTGATCCAAGTTCCTGCAGAGAGGTGGAGAGCATCTGCCTCGGCAGGGCTCACTGGTAAGCAGCTGGAATCTGAACTACTTCAGCTGTGGTGTCTGTGGGAACGGGTGGATCATCTGGAGTCATCTTCCTGTGCTGGCACACAGGCTATCTGCCTATCCAAACTTTGAGCTGTTACTGCTGTGCCAGCACATCCTGTAAAGATGCAGTAGATTTGTTCTAAAACTGAAATAAAGCCTCTGTCCTACTGAGGTTGGGGTAGCTGGACCTAACTGCCTGCTAAGTAAAAATATGTAACAGCCGAGTCATTTGTATACTGTGAACATGCCCTTGACTCACAGGAATATAGGTAACAGGGAATAAGGGCAGTGGGGACCTCTAGTTAAAAAGGCCAAACTGGAGGGAGAGGCATGACTAGTACTGGCAATGATGTCTAGGTCATGTGGACACACGGGAAAAATCATAGGGATGTGCCTGGAAAACATTCATAGTTGCTGCACAGCAAATGCATTGATAACTGCAAAGCATTGCTCATTTACAGCACATCAGAATCCATCTGTAATGTACCATGGGTAAACCAACAAGAACTCTTTTCTTTTTGTATCTTCTTATCAATGGCTTGCTGATGCTGTTGCTTTTAAAACCCTATAGCTTTTGGGGAAGACTCTCCTAGCCTTGTACTACAGTGAGGAGCCTTTGACAGCTAAATCGGGCTCTGGGCTCCAAGTGTTCCACCACTCCTGAATATGTTGGCATTCTGCCTACGGTGATGTCTTACTGAGCACTTCTCCTTTTTTTGCCCCCAGCTGATAGGCAGGTGACCCAGAAAAGCTTCAGCTTTGCCCAGGAGTCTGTTTGCGCTCTTACTTTGTGTTTGCCGCAGGTGGCGCCAATGTAGTGAAGGTAAAACATATCTATTTGGCCCAACAGGCATGAGACCCCTATACAGTCCAAGGACACGGGGACTGCTGTAGGCACAGAGCAGAAAATGGGCTAGTATGTCTGTTTGGCTACTCACGAAGTCCTGGTAGCTATAGGTAGTTGCAGAGGTGTTCATTTCTTTTTTTTTTTTTTTTTTTTTCTTGGGATGTGGGAACAGTTTCCATATGCTAGAGAAACCCAGTGCCCCTTAGTTTGTGACAAGCATTCTCCTTCTCATCAGCTCTCCAATGATGCTATCAAACCAGCAGATGCTTACAAAGAGAATTTCATGGGCAAAGTCATGGAAGAACTGGAGGTAAGAAAGGCTCTACTTACTGCACTCCTCCTAAGTGATTAGCAGCTCTGCTCTTTTTTCCCGCAGGCAGAGCAAAGCCTGTGGCAAAGGGTGAAACTCTACAGGCATGGAAAGATTTGTCTTCTGCTGGTGACAGCCTGGGGTTTCTGTGCTGCTCGTGTCTAGGTTGGAAGGGGTGAGGTGGTGACCCTCTGAAGAGCCCATGCTGCCCTAGAGCAAATTTGAAAGAACCACAGCAGAGTGTAGCTGTTGCTTTCATGCTTCTCAGCAGTTTCATGTCCTGCTCCTCTCCAGAGCTCTGACCTGCAGAAGAGGAGCGGGAATTTGTCGGATAAAGAGAAGAGAAGCCCCCATCTGTCTAAGCCCTGGACCCTGAGTCTGTGTTTTCCCTTTGTTCTAGATTTCTGGGGCTAGTTAGAGCTGGTCTTCAGAGAGGAAAGTGATTTTTCTCATGCCCCGAGAGCTCTGGTGATGGGCAGCTGGGCCTCTCCCCTTCTTGTGGGAGACTGTCTGGGCATGACCTTCCTTGACTTGGTGCAGGCCACTGCACATCACGGTCAAAGAAAGGGCAAGAGCATCCCCATGGTTGCTAGTTATCAAGGCAAAGCATTCCAGGAGAGCTAGGACACTCTTGGACCTGCAGAGAAGGGTCCTGCTCAGATGCTTTAATGGTACATACTGGAGAAAACAAACACTACATCATTTTTTTTTATACAGCTTTGAGCTTGCATTCTTCCTGCACTTTCGTTATAAGGCAGTCTAGTTACTATACAGTACAAACCCAACTGCCAGCCCGCCCCATTGCTTTCACAGCTTCGCCAGTGCTGCCTCTCTGCCCACCCCTGTGATCTCTGCTGCAGAGTTTCTTTGGGTTTCCTTCCCCATTCTGTTACAGAGCAGCTAGATTCAGTAGACTTCTGAACACAGGGGATTTCTCCTTTCAGGTCTGCTAGAGCTGAATCCAGTGGACTCTCGCTCCCAGGAGGCTTCTCCCAGCCCAGCCTTGTGGCTGCTGCTGTCCTCACGTGTGTGTGTGTGTTCAGAAGACTTATGGTGCATTCCAAAGAGCCAGATGCAGACACACACACACAGATTTACACCAATAATGCAACCGGCAAAACAGATTGACATAGACAGAGTAACGCCTTTACCGGCACCCAGGTCTTTGTAACCACCACTTACATAAATGTGAACACAGGCCGCTCCTTTTCTGCCTTTCCATATGATCAGGACTGGATGTTTGCTAGTGAACCACAACTTCATTCCCTAGATTCATAAGCACAGCGTGTGCATGGATTCCTCAAGCAACACTCTGGAAATCGAGTCCATGTAATATCTGTGGCTGGATGTCAAGCTCCTTAGCCAGTCATTGGTGCAAACGTTGGGTCTTTCTAGATCTCCTGTGTCATGAGAGAGTCCAGTCTGAGGTTCACTGGTGCATTGTACACACACAGGGATCCCCCCAGTAGCCGGCCAAAGACACTTTGTGTTTCCAACTGCTGTCCCAAGACCTCTTGCCCCCTATCACCCATGTTCCTTTCTTACACTGAACCATCCCCCTCCTCTGTGGCCAGACAGGGATTCAGGCCTTTTGAGCAACTCTTCCCTTTGTGCCCCACTTAGCTGCCTGCAGCCTCATTTGGCAGGGACCAGCCAGCCATGGAAGTCCTTGCTTTGCACAGGCTGACTGAATTGCACTGGAGCATGGTTAGCTGTGAAAACTGTTAACTTTATTTCAGGAACTAAGGCAACTTAAGCATTTGTGTGTACTCTAGCATTTGTGAGCAGGGACAGGACAGAAGAGGCCTTTGACACTGAGGCTGCCATCGGATCAGCAGGCATTGCCCCAGAAGGGAATGGTCATGGTACACTGCAGCCTGCACTGGATCCCATTCATCTGGCTACTCAAGCCTTTTTTCCTCTTAGGACCTGCAGGAGCTCCTGCAGCAGATTAAAGAATTCCACCAGCTTCTGGCGTGGAAATAGACAGGATGTAAAGCCGCTCTCTTGCGTTGGTACGGGACTTGGCTTCTGAAAGGGGGTTGAAGTGAAAACTGGCTGTGGTGTGAAGACTGGCTGTGGTGTTGGAGCAGCCGTTAGTGCTGGGTGCAGCCCCATCTGTACCAAGATCCAGTCGTAAAAGTGCTGAGTGGAGGTGTAGACTCCGGGCCGTCTTGCTCTTGCACAGCCTTTCCCCCAGCTGGTGACTCCAACTAGCCAGAAGTAGTCAGCACTGGTATCTTTGCAAACAAGAGGACCACCACTGTCGCCCTGCAGTGGAGACCAGAGGATTAAGGCGATGTTGGGTGGCCAGTGGCAACACAGGGGCTGGCTCCTCCTCTGTCACAGCACATGCCGGAGTCTGGGCAGTGGTGACAGGGCTGTCTGTGCTGCTGGGGACAAGCCATCGCACGCTCCTACCTGGCAGGTGTCAATGCCGCCCTGCGGATAGCCAGCACACAGGTTGTGGGGGTGGACGGCCCCACTGTACCACCGGGTGCTGTTACAGAGTTTGACGTCGATGAGCCGGACCTTGGCCTCCTGCAGGACATCAGTTGGTCTTCCAGCTGTGAGCACAGAAAGGAATGAACACCCAGCAGCTCGTTGCCAGTTCTCCTCCCTTGCCTGGGTGAACCTCCCTTTTCCCTAGGGCTCGGCTTTGCATCATGACAGGCATTGTACCAGTGTTTCATTTCTGTCTTGCTTTGGGTAGCGTGCCAGGCCCATCTCTCTACAGGCATATGTCCCTGCAGTCTGACCCTGGCTCTCGCCTCTGCTGTCAGGAAGCCCAGCCCATCTCCCCCAACGTGCCAGGCTTGCACTCGGGACCCGAGCACTTTTTGGGAACTCACATCTTGCAGCTGTGGACCCCCAACCGCTGACGTAGCAGTTTTTCAGCTCTGACACTCTCAGCGAGGCGTCAGGCACGCAGGCAAGCTGTATGGAGTAGCTGCACTGGACAGGCTGGTCCAATTCCAGCAAGGCAATGTCATTCTCCTCTGTGATACTAGTGTAGTGCTCGTGAGCCAGTAGCCGCTTAATATGGCGCACTTGGGTGTCAGGGCCCAGCTGAGACAAATGGGTGGCTCCGATCACCACGCGCCACATGGTGATGTACCTGGAAGGCAGATCGAGAGAGGGATCAAAGGGAGTGGAGCCATGCACCCAGCAGCCCAGCAGTTCTCTGCTTTCTGCTTGGCAAGGGAGAGGGGAAAGCAGCACTGTGGAGGGTGCAAGTGCCCTAGCATGCCTCTGGCTGGAGGCATGTCAAGCTGGAGGCTGCTAGGAAGCAGTGGCACGAGCCCAGCCTTCTCCTGAGCAGTCTCCGAGCGGGGCTCTGCAGTGCCCAGGCACTGGGCATACTGCAAGGGAACGGTATGGGAGCAGCACACGGTGTCGCAGACAGGGCATCTGCAAGTGCCGTGGGGATATCCCCGTTCCCTGGTCCTCCTTACCTGGCCTCGACGAAGCAGTGGGCTGCTGTGAGGACCCACTGTGGGCTGATGAGGGACCCTCCACATATATGTCCTGTGCCTATCGCCCAGGGATCCTGGATGCTGACAATCCAGGGCCAGGAGCCTGGCTGGGCGTCTGTGCCACCGACGACGCGCGACGTGCCGTGCTGAGAAGCCGTGGGCCGGAGCCCGCAGGTCCCTCTGTAATCAGAAACTCGTTACCATCCTGCTCTGTGGCTTGCTGATGTGCAGGCTGAAGCTCAGCCATCTTCCCTCCCCACAAGGCCCGGAGAGCATGGCCAGGGAACCCTCTTGGGGGGGCGCATCCATCTGAGCCTGTTTCTGCGTTAGCCCTGAGGATGGGCCGTGCCAGCAGCCTGGGTGCTGCAAGGAACTGAGGCTCCCACGTGGGGGAAGCTGCGGGGACAAGGGGACAAGCGGGCACCCTCCGGTGAATCCCATAAGGGTTGCCCGAGCTCCCTCCCAGAGCCTCGAGCCACTCACCCACAGCTGTCCCGTGTGCTGCCTGCAGCCCAGCACGTGGCCAGCAGGACGAGGAAAGGAAGCGAATGCATCACTGCAGCTGCAAGACCGGAGGGCTCCTCACCACCAGCGCAGCAGCCGACACAGTGCCCGCAGTGCTCCTGTTGCCCGCGGTGCCCTCGGCAACGGGGCTGATGTCACAGAGTCACTGGTTCCAGGTGCTGGGCACGGTGGCCTCTCCTGGGGGGGGGTGCAACGTAAGGGGGGGTTCCAAGCAGGAGGGGAGGCAGAAGCTGGGGTTGGACACCCCCAAGAGACTCCCGCTGAACGCTCTGCCTGCGGGATGAGGGGGTGTGGGCCCCATGGCAGGTGTTAAAGGAGACTCGAACTCCGTCGTGGGTTACTCTAGGATTTTATTCAGGTCCAGCAGCGTTGGGTCACCTCCGCAGAGAGTGACAGCTTACATGAGTTCGCATACATGTATTTATGCACCTACAAAGCATTACCTAATCCAAAATACACAGAATTATACTTGATCAGTCATTCTTATCTTGACAGCGGGTTCCACATCTTGTTCTGGAGTCCGACTACTTCGTTGTTTTGTTTCTTCTTTCTTTTAGTCTTCAAGGACGATTACCTCAAGTTCTGTACGTCTCAGTTCTTAGTAGCCACAATGATAGATCTCCCATTTTGGGAGATAAGCAGCATGCTGATTTTGTGTTAGCATTTGCAACTTAAATCATAAAACACTGTTTATTCTCTTAACTCTTCAGAGTTAATGCATCATTATTAGTACAACAGGCAGCACGTGCCTGCGCAGAGTTTGAGGTTTTACTTGAAAATTACAGCTTTGGTTGCTTCGTGCACAGTGTAGCTCTTGCTTCTTGAATTTCACCCAGCAGCCATGCAGGTTCCCCCAAAAACTCCCTTAAAAAGCTCCGAAGATGCCTCTGACTCCTCTGCCCCCTTCTGAAGCAGCACAGCGAGACAAATGAGACTTTTTATTTTCCCATTACAGTCAATGGGCGACGACAAAAATCAGCCAGCCATGGCTCTGGGGGTGGAACCCATCAGTCAGCAGCAGCACTTCATGAACGGGGTCCATGAGATGGCGACATGGATCTATGGTATTTGAGTGCCACAGAATGAACCCAAAATAAACCGAATTAAAAGAAAAAAAAAAAAAAAAAAACAAAAACAACAAAAACCAAAACAACACACATACCCCCAAATATTCAAACTGATAAGTAACACAGGTTTGCTTAATGGATTTCTCCTTCCCCCCCCGTCCCCATCAATTTCATTTACAACACAGCGCATGTCCAAACTAGATCATCTCTTACGATAAAAAATTACATATTTCAGCATTTCCAAAACAAAAATAATTCCTATATTTCTAGATGTAGCGCCCTGCGGGAAAAACATAAATTTAAAAAGTAGGCCAGCATCTTATTTTTTACCTTTTTACACCCCTTCAGGATTCCCATTTAGGAGACTTTTTGAAGGGGTCCTTGGGAGACTGGGGGAGCTGTTTTAAGGCACCAAAGATGCGGAAAACACCCAGCACCAAGCCTGCATCGCTTGGGAAGGGGGTTGCTGCTAACTAAAGCATCGCGGGTCCCTTCAAGGATTTTCTTTTTTTTTTTTTTTTTTTTTTTCAGTCCTAAAGGAACACCTCTGAGAGGGTTTTTTCCCCTCCAACTTCTTTTCCCTCTGCACAGAGAAATACTAAATCCTCCCCAAATAAGGACCCAGCCATGGGTTTATGGTGTATAGAGGGGCCGGCTGCAGCGCTGGGCCTCACAGCCAGCCTGGGGCATTGCACCTACCTTGTAGAGGGCCTAGAGTCACAGTATGAAGCAAGACCTCAGCGTTCATTTCAGAAAGAAAGAAGAAAGAAAGAAAGAAAAAGCCACCAGACCCGCAAACAGGATAAGCAAAGCTTCAAAGGGAGAAGACGGCTGCAGAGGGGCCCGCCAGGGAAGCCTGGTTTGCTTTTTAAATGAGGAATTGCCCAGGCAGCTGCCGCCATTTTGCAGCTCCCCGAGGCCAGGGGGGAGGCCGAGCCCCGAGGGGCTGGGCCCAGCCCACTCTTCATTCCAACCGGCACCATTTCCCTCCCAGGGTGGGATTTGTTCTTTCGACACAGAAGAGGTGCCAGGCACATGCTGAAAACAATCCCAGCCCCTGGCCCTGATCCCTGCCAGGAGCGGGAGTGGGGTTCAGCCTGGCTCTTGCCTCCCACGTCGAGGAAAATACGAATGGAAAACCTAAAATTGTCCCCTAGTAGAAGCCCAGCAATTCCATTTTAGGGGCAGGGCAGCACTAGGATTGGTTCCACAGCCACCCAGCACTACAGCCGGTGCAGTCCACTGGCTTAATGCTTGTACCTCCCTGGGCATTAAAGTTGATTTGCCAAACGGTGGAGAGCTCAGGGCTCTCCTCCACCGGGACCTTTTCTCTCTGGGGAGGGAGAGACGGCCCGTCGCAGCAGCAAGCGCAGGGCCATGCTCAGAGCCAGGCCCAGGAAGGCAGCCTGGATGGGACATGCAGGGGCTTCACACAGGAGCAGCAGGAAGAAAACCCAGGCTGGGCACCTTTCCCTTCCTGCAAGCCTTTTGGGTTTGCCTCCCTTCATTTTTGAAGAGCTAAACCAGCCTCCTCCCACCCTGACAGTCCTCGTGCCACGCTGGCAACAGCCCAACTACACTGTGCAAAACCCCATCCCTTAAAAAACAAAAGTCTGATTTTGGCCCTGCTTGGTGCTGTCCTGCTTTCATCCGTACAGAGCAAGTTTATCTTTTCTTGTCCCCACCCGTTCCCAAGGAACAACAACTTGCCATTGTTGCCTGGGGCCGGGTTGATGCACAAAGGCTCCCGCAGCACTGGGACAAGCCGGTGGTTCGGGCACTGGTCCCAGCTGGGCACTGGGCACCAGTTGCAGCTGCCAAGAGCCAGGAGCATGTGCTGAGCCCTCAGCAAGGTGGGGGGCTGCGAGGAGACCTTCTCTGCTGGGGTGTAGTGGCCCCACTGCCACTACAAAACCGCAAATACGCACGCACGTACACATGGAGGCTTAACAACACCGTCCTCCCTCCCTCCCAGTGACTGGGATGTGCACCTCTCTTTGCTGGTGTAGAGACACCAAATGCCTGCAGCACACCAAGGATAACAGAAAACACCTGCACGGCTTTAATGGGAATCCTCTACATGCAAAAAAAGTCACTCCTCCCTGTGTCTGCGTTGGCACGTCCCTGAGTCATGTCCTTACTCCTCTCCTTCAAAGTCAAGATGCCCCGACAGGAAAACTGGAGGAAAAAGAGGAAGAGGGAGAGCACCATCAGTGGCAGACCTGCCGGCCGCTGTCGGCTCAGCCCCGTCCGTGGGACCACCCCGGCAGAGAGGAGCTGGTTTGCGTGCCACGGTCCTGGCCGCCTGCTCCCGGGGACGGGCCCTTTGCTCGGCATCGCCACCCAAAGCACGGGCGAACCGCAGGCACGCGCTGCCGCTTGCAGAGGAGCACGGGCACGGTCACAGGCAATCCCTCACCTCTTCCCTCCCCACATTCAGCGTGCTTCTGTGCTCACGGGGACAGCCTTCCATACGTCCGTTGTTGAAATTTCACCTGAGATACCAACCTCGGAAGGATCGGTCCTGCAATAAATATTTTACACAGCGTGTAGGAAGTGTGGGAAAAGCAAAACAGCGAAGAAACTGCAAAATACACATTTCCTTAACACACACCCGGTGCCCAGAACAAACACAGGACAGGATGAAGATCCGATGATTGGTGTTGTGATGTCACCAAGGAGGAATGAGAAGCGAGGTGGAGGCCGTGTGGTCCTGTTCTTCTACTTCTCTCAAGGAATGTTTTGACATGACTCTGCAGATTTATCTCCTGCTCTTCCCCTTTTCCCAAGGGATGTTTTACACCACTTCTGCAGACACTATCTCCCATGCTTCCTCTTTTCCCACAACAACTGCATGCATGTTGCACCAAGAAATGTGCTGTGTCATTACTCAAGAAACAACGGGTTGACCACAGTCCCACCCAATCACACATACACATTTTGATAAATACCACCCCAAGTTTGTATTTGACTCGGAGGGACGATAATCAACACCACATTGGAGGGACAGGTGGATGGGTTCGTGCTCCTCGCCGCGCCCCAGAAGGGGTGCCTTTTGGTAAAATTTATGCCCTCAGCTATGCTGAGTGATTACCCGGGGTGTAAGTCTGTGTTTGCAATCATTTTTGTGTGTATTGCTATACAGCCAACTGCAGTTTGTGCATTTATCGTAGGCAATCTCAAAGAATCCGTAAATGTTGCGTAAGAATGAACTGTACTATTCATGCACCTGACTGCTTCTCTTGAATGGCACCGGACCTACAGCACATGGGCTGTTTGTGCACCTGGTGTCAGGCCTATAGTCACAGCAATAATTGGCATAGCTATTAAGAGGTAAGTCCAGCTGCCCTCAGCCCCTCTCATCTCTGAGGACTGGCTAGAACACAAGGGGATTCACCTCTTCACCTTGAATGCAACACAGCAGCCCGTGATTATGGGCACTGATGCACCAAGTGTGTTAGCAGCAGCAAGAGGAACAGGGCATCCTGGAGAACCAAAGCTCAGTGTAAACACAGGAGGTTTTGCTGGACGGGGAGTTTGGGGAGGCAAGCCTGAGAGCTGCAGAGCAGCAGGCCCAAGCCAAGGCTCTTGCTGGTGTTTAGCCCTGGAGTGGGCTCCTGAGCCACTGCTGGCACGGATCATGCCTGCAACTCCTCATTGTTAAGCACGAGGATCTCCAGCTACAATCAAGGCAATGATGATGCAAGTTTTGGGGGTCACACGTGAGCTGGGCAGCCCCTCTGCTTGGGGTCAGAGCCCTGCGATCACATCCTGCAGCCCTGCCCATACATTTGATTTTCCCACGCAGCTGACTGCTGGTTTCTGGGGGATGCTCAATAAAGATGCAAGGGGAGAAAACTGTGCCAGAAGCCTTCAAACTAATTTTGCCGGGGGTCCTGGTGCTTGGTGGGCTTTACCTGTCACTGCTTTGCTCTGGGATAGCTGAGTCACTGGTCTTCCCCAGGTTCAGCTGAACTGAATTTCCAGCAGCAGCAGCAGGTTCCATCATCATCTGGGACTCCTGATGTAAAAGGGACAAATCAAGTTCTCTGATCAAAGCGGAGGTAAACCAAGCAGCCAGCAAAAACATTGCATGCTGCCCTCTCCTTCTGACCCTTGGCAGCTTTAGCGATTAGTGCAGCAGGGCAGAGACCTTTCAGTCCAAACACTGGAGGGGGAGCATGGATTTAAACACACTATTATGAGCAAACCTTTCCATAATAATAAAAACAGTCATCATCACCATCGTTACAAATGACTCATTTGAAAGATTATACCCCAATTCAAGTGTTAAGCTCTCTCCTAATTTAGGAAAGAAAGGTTACAATGTGGGATCCAGGCCATCAGGATCTATTTCTATTGAGTTCTGACCTTCCCCCAATATTTCAAGACAAGCTGTGATAGCAACAGGCAATGGCACAGCCTGAGAGAGATGTCCAGCCCTGAGCACCCAGAAAGTGTTACCTCTTCCCCTTCGGCTTCATTTTTCTCATCATCCAGCAACTTCTTGCTTTCTGGCATAAGGTCATCCAGAAAGCTGAGCTCTCGCTGCGAGAAGCAGAAATCCATCACTTTCCGGACAAAAACGAGAGCCAAAACCTTCACGAGTAAGAGGGAAGATGTGGTGAGGCCCAAGATAATGTGACATCTCACTCCGGCGCTGCAAACATCCCGCTGCCAAGCGGCACCGGCTCTTACCATCATGGGGAAGATGATGGCGGCTGGGGACACCTTGATGGCCCAGAGCAGGACGAGGCAGATCAGCTGGATCATGGTGAACAAATGCACCTTTCGCAAGGGGACGTGCCGCAGGTAGATGAAATCTGGCTGGTGTTTTGCTGGCATCCAAAACAGCTTCAGGCGGTTGAAGAACTGCAAAATCAAAGTGAAAAGTGGCCACCTTGGGACTGCAGAAAGTTTCTGGCCCTCTTGAGACGTGGGGGGACTTTTCAAGGTCTCGTGTGCAGTGAGAAATCCTGGATCCCACTATGTTCCTCCTGGGAGCAGCACCCCTTTTCCCTTCACTCCATCTAAAAACCAGCCAGCCCACGAGAGCTGCCCTCCAAATTGCAATTGATCCACACTGTTCTATTATTAGCCTTTCCTGGCCCACTGAGTCCCTCAGCAAGGATTTCCACTGCTAGCAGAAATTGCCTTCCTATTGCGCTGAATTCCCCCATTTTCACTGGAACCAAACACCGACCTGCCCTAAACTGTGAAATAAAGAGCGTTCTGAGCTTGCCCGGTCCTCCCAGACCTCTGTAACCTCCCGTGCCCCCACCAGTCATCCCCCTACACCAAATATTTCCACTGTTTGCTCCTGGAGAGGTTTTTTCCTACGCCACCACTTTTTTCCTGCTGCTACAGAGATGAAACACCAGGGAGCTGACACACTGCGCGCTGTACAACAGTCTGTACCTGAATTCCTCTGAGTGACGACGTGCCCATGTAGAGAAAGACGCCATAAAGCACAGGCATTGGGATAAACTGAAAAAGAAAGAATGCAATAATTTATTTCTTGAAACTGCATTTTCTGTATTACCCACCTCTTCTACAGGCACTGTCCAGAATTGCCTAAATCTTCCCAGTTTCCACAGGGTTAGAGATGTGTCAGATTTTCACCATCAGAGATTTTGTGTGTGCGAGTGAGCTAATGCTCTGCTTTATACTGAACCTTTGAGTGACCTTTCATCCAAATAATCCTCTTTTCCAGAAAAGTTGGAGGAAAAGCGGTGTTTTCACCCATGCTACCATGTGCTGCATTCTGTGTCAGTAGAAAACCATTTCTACGTATTCGTGTGGCGAGAGGTAAAAGCAAAGTGCCCCCTTTTAGCCTAAAGATGAGATTACTTTGCGCAAGGAAGCCCATGGGGACAATGTCAGTGTGTTTAGCTACTGGGAATCGTTGTTTTGGGGCATCTGGGGGAGCAAATTGCAACCGATAAAGTGCTCCCTGTTTGAAAGAGAGCAGAAGTCTGAATATGCTTAATGGTGACCCATAAACACGGGTGGGCCTGAAAGATGCCTGAAAATTAAAGCAGCTGCCTTGCTCGCTTGCCATGAGCCCACCAAACGGGGGTCTGAAGGGATGAGAAGTGTCACAGAGGCTGGCTCCCACCGTGGGGCAAGCCCCAAGGTTTGGCATCACTTCCTCCTCTGCTCCACAACTGCTCAGGCCTGGAGAGAGGAGACCCCTTTTGCATAACCTCCAAAAAGCTTGTGGTTGTTGGGTGCTTTGCAATTTTCTCTTACCTTTAACGCAGACGTGAGGAAGACAGAGCAACCCATGAGCACAAAGATCATCAAGCCCGTGACCCTCTGCTCTCGTATCCCCAGGAACTTGGGTTGTTCTCCCGGAGCTAAGCAGTCAGATTCTACTTTGAGGCTATTCACGTGGGTGATGGACAGGACGGTCGCAGCCACAAACCAGGGCAGCCCCATCACAGAGCACACCCCGAGCATCACGGCCACCACGAAAAGGTCCAGGTGGTACCCGCATCCTTTCTGCAGGGAGGAAAACAAGAAACAGCATCCCACAGTGTAAGAGCGCAAGGACAGCATCACAAGTCAGACTCAAACCCTACTTGAGCACAACTCAACTTCTTGAAAATTTAAAACAAGAATTGGAAAGAAACAGGGATGTATCCAGTCTCTGAGCAAGCACCTTGCATCAAAATCTGCCAGGAGTGCAGACAGAGTGCATTTGGAGAAACTGTTGTTTTCATTCATAAAGCAATTTCCGCTGCTTGCAAGTAAGATGCAACTCCCTTATCCCTGGCAGTGCATCAAAACAATTCATTCCCCCAGCCGTGGTTGACGTTTTAAAACAGAAAAGTGCTTCTGTATTTCTCTCAGATTAGTTTGCGGCTCCAAAAGATTGCTCATCTGAAGTCTCCTGTCATTTGCTCCCTGTGTCATCATGAACCCACGAGAGCATCTTGCCATGCAGTCTGACATTGTCCCAAAGCAATGCCTTCCCAAAGCATTTGGAATAGGAGCTTTTCCCCATCTCTGCAGGCCGGAGAGTGGGGTGGGGACAGGGCCATCTCTCAGCCCCTTACCTTCAGCCTGTGCTCCTTCCTGTTCACAAGGACAGCAGTGATCTGCTGATCCATGAAGATCAAGATGGTGCAGAGCAGAGCTGGGATGGGCGCAGCCAACACCGTCCACCAAGGGTTCGGTCCTAGGGGGTTGATGAACCACCCGCGGTCGTCTCTAGTAGGCTGCAACAAAACACGCACATCAGCATCATCTCCCAGCCCAGCCACTCCACTGGCTTTGATCTTCCCCTCCCTGCCTGTGTCCAAGCATCTCCCAGCCCTGGCTGCATGTCACTCTCTCCTGTGGGGCGTGCTCTTTGTCCTCTCTAGTGTCAGTGTCCTCTTTGCAAGCGTCCACAGATACTTCTCCTGGAGGTATCTAGTTTGGGGGCTGTCTTCTAGTTTCCCGAAGGAAACGATGCACTCGGAGGTGGAAGAAGAGAAGGTCCCACCACCACCATCTCCTCCAGACTCAGCCCTGATCTGTCCCAGCATCACCTTCTGGCATCCCCAAGGGCTGGAACCAGCTCCGTGCCAAAACCCCTCATTACCTTGAACACGTGGGGGACGTGGAGCTTTGGTGATGGGATCCCAATCATGAAGTCCATAAGCACCATGATGACGATGGTGAGGAAAACAGCAAAGTCACTTACTGTGGACCGCACCTGGGGCAAGAAACCAGAGCTGACAGGGGCGTCGCAAATGGGGCTCTAACATGAGAGGGAAAAGTTGGGGACATCAACAACATGAAGGCTGGTTAACGAAACCCCAACACTCCGAGGACATGCGGCTGAACCCCTTGGTTACACATTGCTGCTGTGTTTACCCCTGGGAGATTTGGTGTCAGACAATAAAAGATTTTAATTAGGTGGAAAAGGGTTGTTTGAATTTGAAACTTTAAAAAAAAAAAAAAAAATCCAAAAAGGGAACAGATGTCTGCCACTACAGCCACACTCACAGCTAAAATGGGAATAAGGACCTGAGGCATCATTTATTCCTCATCTGAATCAACTTCCCCTCGAGCACATAATACACAGAAGGTGGGAAAAACTCCCAAACTTTGGAAGACCTGATTTCCCACTGCCTGAGCGAAAAATTGCTCTGGGGCAGGTTGCAAGGCAGGTGGGAAATGCTACGGTCATTTTGCACTCATGGAAATGAGTGAGGGACGTCCGAGCTGATGGAGAGCTTGACCTTCAAGGTCAGCATTTCCCAGCTTGACCAAGTGATGCCAAGTACTGCTTAGTGCTCCAGGAAAGCCATTTGGGGAAGTGAAGGTGGAGACTGCTACTGGCCACCATCTTCTACTTACTTTGGTTGGGAAGTAACGGCTGGTTTTAAACTTCTTCAGTAAGCTCGAGAGCACAAAGGTGGAGAAGAAGAGGATGCAGCACCAGAAGAGGACATTGGGTGCGTAGGGGCCGTTGTGTCCACAGGCGGGTCCTTGAAACACTCCATGCAAAGACTGACATTCCTGGAGAAACAGAGTGTCAGGACACAAAGGCAGTGCACGTGTGGCATGGAAACCTTGAGTAACTAGGGGGGCTTGAGGATTTCGGCCCAAGATCCATGCCCCTGTGACTGCTGTGGCTGGAGATTTACAGTTCATGACCAGCAGCAGCTGAACGAGTGATACATCGAACTGCACGGAGGAGAGCGGAGAGATGAAATGTGATGGGACACCATAACATAGACCCGCGGTACATCCTCTGCTGCAACAGCAGGTAACCGTGGCTGAAGAAGACACCAGAGGGGAAGGAAACGCTGGAAACTCTTGACGATAGAGAAAGAGGGAATGGGGAAGGAGGGCTAAGGCAGCCATGGTAGGAAAGGAGAAGAGACAAATTGTCCCTTCCCAGGGGAGGCCTCGCAGAACCTGACCAAGAGGGGGTGAAGATGTCCAGAAAAGCTTCCCATCCCTCTGCTTCCAGCAGCAACAGCCCTAGAGGCTGCTCAGACATGCAGATTTATGCATGTACCTGCAGGCAGCACTGAATAAGAAAGCAAGGCCTAGAGTTATTAGCAACCAGTTAAGGAAGCCAATTACTACCTTCAAGCATGAACTTTAGTCCTCCAACTGCTACCAGAATCAAACCACCCACTTATCGTTGCTCCCCGTCAGCAATATTGTCCAGCAACAGAGCGGAGGAGGACAGTTATCTCCTACAACACCGGGGACAAGGTGGATTGGATAAGGTGGACTCTCCTTCCCAGGTCCAAGCGGCATAAAACCACGTATTAAATTTAAGTAGTGGCTTTCCAGAGCAGCACTAGCCCAGTTTGAAGTCCATCATCACCTAACGGGCTTTGACCTTTGCACCACACGAATGCCCCCGGGCCCCATGGCCGCGGTGCGAGGAAGCAGTGGCTCAGGGCACTTACAGCCACCGTGAGGTTTTCCCAGGTGATGCTGGACACGTTGATCTTGTTGCTCTCCCAGAAGCGCAGGGTTTTGTTGCTGGGATGGGTCGGTGCCTCACACTTACAGCTGGGAGGAAAGAAGCCAAGACAGGGGTCAAGGGGTCAAAGGCTGTGAAGGTGCAGCCCTGACCTCCTGTCAAGGGGCAGACGTGGTTTTGGAGGAAAACACCCACTAGTAGGTGGTGAGCAAGTCGAGCTTGCTGTGCATGTGCACAGGGTAGGTCTCCCGCAGACGATTCAGTTTCTCCAGAGCCTCGTAGATGAAGATGAAGCAGATGAGGGAGGCAAAGGCTTCTTCGGTGAAGCGGGTGATGTAGCACACCAAGGAGCTGGCGTCGGTGGCCACCAGCACGATGCAGAAGGCGGCAGTCCACAGCCCGATGCACGCCCGCAGGGAGAGATAGGAGAGCGTGTACTCCCTGGGAAACCCAAACAGCATGAGGGGTGGAAAGGCCGGCACGAGGCTCCGAGCCGTGCCTGCCTGCGGGGAAACCTGGGAGCGATTTAGGAGCGTGTCCAGGCTGCGGAGGGTCAGGGCAGTTCCCATGGACATGGACAGCCAGCCTCGGGGCTGCGGGGCAGGCTGGGAGCCTGCAGGAGGAGGGGCCAAGGACTGCTTTATCATTATTATTATCAATTATCTGGTGTTAGCCCTCGGAGGCTAACTGAGGTCAGGTCCCTGGTGTGGAAGAGGTGGTGTTGTCCCACATCACCCTGATGCCCTGACACGGAAACCAGAGGGTTTTGCGCTCAGTCACCTGCTACCTGCAAGCTGGGGCTTGATAATAAATTTCATTGCAGTATGGGTGGTTCATCTCACATCAAAGTCACCACCACAAAAGGACTGTCATGGAAAGTGTCCATTTCACACAAAAAGCTCCTACTTTTCAATAAAATCACCAAAACTCAAAGTATTTCATCACAAAACTATTTGCATGTTTGGGCAAAACATATTTCCACTCCCAGCAAAAATCAGACTCAAAAGTGCCTGCTTTGGTACTCAGAGAAAAGCCAATCTTCCCTCCTTCCCAAACCAGAGTGACTTGTCTCATCTTTCTTGTACAGCCCATCTTGGGCATCCACATCCTTTTGCTTTCTCCCCCTCCCCCTGCTGCGCTTTAACCCTAGAAACCCCAAACGACCCCTTCCACACTGCAGAGACCGAGGGCTCTTGCACCATCACGTACTAAAGCAGCAGCATGCCATGTCTCTGGCACAGAAGACAACTTAAATCAAACAGCTACCACCGAGAAAAATAGAATAAAAACATCTTTTCCCCATCGCTGCTGCCTTCTGAAGGCCCTTGCAGCCCCCAGCCGCAGCAGGCAGCATTACTTGCAGAACTTGTAGAGGATCTTTTCAAACACGAGGACAGGTCCAGTGCTGCCGAGGATCGTGAGAGGTTGTCCAGCAAAGAGGGAAAACACCACACCGGTCAGGGATGCGCCCAGCAGTGACTCCATGGCACTCTATCCAGGGAAGAAAGGCAGCAGTCAGCAAATAAAGCAGGGAAAAAAAAAAACAAAACCAAAGCAAGTTCACTGCAGCAATGTCTTCTGCATGAGTTTCATCCTCCCCCATGCCACCCAACCCAGAGAGGTGCTCACTATGTGGCCATGGGTCGCCTCCCCCAGCAGTCCCCCGAAGGTGATGATGGGGGACATGCAGGCACAGTAGAGGAAGAGGAAGGACGCCAGACACTGCAGCCTCAGACCATCCCGAAAGTCACTCCAGTACCATGGGGCTTTTCGCTTCACATCCCGGATCAAACCTCCAAAGAGCCTGGAGGAGGGAAAAAAAATCAGACTGTTCTCTTGGAAGAGCACAACAGAGTTTGCTTTCCTACAGAAGGGCCACCACGAGCACTGCTAAAAGGAAGCACTCCCCTTCACCCGTTTTATACCCTGTAGAAACCGAGGTACGCAAAAACCCCCTCCAACAAAAAGAACAAGGAACCAACTTGAGGGCCTGGCCCCTCTTATTGCAACAGTCCCTTGCTTTGAGAAGCAGCAGAGCTCTCCCTGGAGGTATTTACACATCTGCTTCCACCCCAAATCAGGAAAACCTGTGTGCAGCGATGCTGTGGCTGAGCCCAGCTGCCCAGATCTGCCCCCTGCCCAGCCCAGGGGACCAGGCTGGTTATGTGGAGCCCCTTCACTCAAGCAACCAGCCCCAAACACCTGCTCGAAGGGAAGGTGCGTGCTGAGATTGGAGAGGCAAACAGAAAAAAATAGAACCCCCAACTGTTAAAGCTCACACCTTCCTGTCCGCTGCAGCTCAGGACCGCTGTGTTTCTCTGGCTTGCTGTGAGAAGCACTGTCATCGGGAGCTGCTGGCATCTTCCTTTTTTGCTGTTGAAATGGAAGTAAGATAAAGATATGGATTTGGAATCCCTGGCTTGTTCTGCTTCTGCTCTGGGTGACTGTGTCAAGCTGGGCCCTTGTGAACTCTGGCCCTGGGACAGCATCCCTGTCCTGCCCGTCCCCCTCGCACCTCCCTCTGTCACAGCACCCACCTGTGATGGGACGTTTTTCGGGGGCTTGATTCGAATCGATGGATCCCATTCTCCTGGTGGCAAGACCGTGACCTGATCCAGGAACTCGTCAATGCCGGCCACGAGGTCATCCCGGCTCTTGGCTTTATAGGCAACGTCATGGAAAACCTGCCCAAAGGAGACAACCTGGTGAGAGGCCAACCCATCTTGGATGTCCTGACACGTGCAACAAGACCTTGGCTAAATGAAGGATAATTTCCCCCAGATTCTCGTCTGGAAACGCCAGGAAATATCCACCCCAAAGTTAAAATCTGTGCATCCTGGTATCTGTAATCATATGCGTGAGGCCCCCATCCCCCATGGCACCCTGCAGCCTTTTGCTTCAAGAGCAAGAGAAGGTTTCCTGGCCCTCGCAATGCCACCGCTGGGGACAGCGAGTGGGGGCCCCGGGGAGAAGGACGAGGTGCAGGATGCACCCGGCTGGGATTTCAGCCTCCAGGACGGGGGGTGATGCAAATGCCTGTGGTTGCTTTGGGGTGAGAACGAGGGGTGGGCTCTTTGTAGAGCTGTGGGCAGCTGGGACAGCAAATCCTCTTCCTCACTATTACAGAGACAGGGAGAGGTGAAAAAAGCCAAAAAGGACCCAGAGATATCTCTGATCTTGTCGCACCTCATCCGTCATGATAGTAGCCATTGACCTGCCAATCTCATGGTACTGCTGGCCTTTTCCTTCTGGTCCAAGCAAAATAAATAGGAACCTGGGCAAGGAAAACAAAATGAGAGAGAAAAACATGCCCTTGCTCAAAGGGCACCCAAGGAAATCCCCGGGAGCTCCCAGCCCAGAACACAGCTCTAGCGGGGACACATAGGCTTACTGAACTCTGTGGTGAATTTGAAACTCATCAAAACCAACCACGAATTGAATTTTTGGGCCAACTTTCATTAAAATTGGCCAACGGGTTTAAAAGATAGAGCAGGGAAGGGAGAAACGATGGCAAGGCTATGTGAGTGGGAGAAACGTGCTTGCTCTCGCTGGCTGCATTCCCTGGGGACGCCAAACCGATGCATGCAATTTGGTGTTGTTTAGTTGGGTTTTCTTTGAAATGAAAAGTTTGTGCTTCTTATCTGGACCTTATCGGGATGGGAACTTCCATCATGCCCGAGAGGAGGGCAGCTGGGGTCAGGCGGACAAATGCCACGAAGGGCTGCTGAAGGAAATCCAGCTCTCCTACGAGCACGTCAGATGCTTCAGCCCCGGTGGGAATTTTCTTCATGAAGTGCAGCTCCGCCTGGGCACGACAAGTGATTTTCAGGCAATTACTCCAAAAGCAAAGCCCACAGCACTCTGCAGCATGCTCTCCAGCCAAGTTTGCAAGAGCAAATCTGGCCCAAAAGGCATAAGAAAGCTATGAGTGTCTCACCTTGCTTAAATCCATTGAGCTGGTCTCACGGTTCACCCCGTTTTTATCTCCTGCAGTGGTGGCAGGGTGAGGGGTGAGTGTTTGGGCTGGTGGGAAAAAGAAAGACACACAGAAAAATGGAAAAAGAGCAATTGGGATGCCTCTCTTTTGCCAGGAATAGCCTAATGAGGACGAAGACCAACAAAAAACCCTCACCTGGGCCCAAAGCCCAACAAAAACCCCTCAACTGGGCCCAAAGCCCAACAAAAACCCCTCACCTGTGACCAAAGCCCAGACAAAACCCCTCACCTGTGGCCAAAGCCCAACAAAAACCCCTCACCTGGGCCCAAAGCCCTGCAAAACCCCTCACCTGGGCCCAAAGCCCTGCAAAACCCCTCACCTGGAATGTCAAGGGGGTGCAGGTCTGGTTGCTTCCCACTCCCATCACCAAACAAGTGCAGAATGGGGAAAATGTTGCTTCTTTCCTTCTCATTCTGGTGGTGATGCTTCTTCAAGAGGAATTCTCGAATTTTCGCCCGTGGGCACTCATCAAACTCCTTGGACTGTTCTTGCTGGCCCAGGATCATATCTGGGGACGGCAAAGGGAAATTAAGCCATTGGGGCAGAAACCCCGTCAAGTCCCGACCCCCAGAGCCCCTGGGGAAGGCTGCGGCCACACAGGCCACCCTAACGCAGGCTCAGCCTTGCTTAGCAAGACGTTTTATCACAATTCAGCCTTTGGAGGGAAAGCAAGAATTTTCTTTTGCTAATAAACATCACCTAAGTGCTCATTTACTACTCTCAGGTAATTATTTCCCATTCTAAATAATGTAATTTTCTTGCCCAGTGTGGCCTTTCGGTCTGACTCTACACATTTAACCAAACTGGAAGCAATCTACAGCGCAGAGTTTCCCAGAGTTTCCCTGGCTGATCAACTGCCATTTGCCAGCGCCCACAATACCTGCAATCTCCTCGATGTTGTTGGCAGAAACGTCCAGCAGCACTGTGCCGTTGAGGATGCAGCTCCTCAGCTCAAAGAGGCTGTGCAGGGACAGCGTGGCCACGTAGGGCTTGCTCCAGCGCTCGCCACCGTCTTCCACGTCCTCCTCAAACTTCAGCCACCTGCGGGCATCGGGCACCATCAGCCCCATTGCGAGAAAACAGCCCCAGCTAACGCAGCCCCTTGGGTAGAGCTGTGGGGTGGCAAGAGGGGAAGGCTCCACGCAGCAGCACCTGCAGCTGCAAAAGCCTCGCCTGCCGGGGAGCAGACAGCAGAGCCCGCGGGTGCTGTTGGCACAGGGTCTCCTCTCCTACCGCCGTCGGCAGCAGAGATTTACCTTGCCCTTTCCTTCCACTCAGCATCTTCACCCTCTTTCACGCAGATCTCATCCAGCTCAGTGAACAAATCATGGGGGGTGTGCTGCTCATCTTCCTCGGTCCCGAGGATGAACTGCACCCGCTGGGATGGGGTGTCTGGGGGCAGAAGAAAAAGCCCCATCCTGTTACCGTGCTTGAATATGGCCCGTCACGCTCACATGCAAAGTGGACATGGGTTCAGCCATAAATATCCGGCTGTCCCCTCTCCCCTGGCTCTGTCCAGGCTTGCGCAGAGCCACCAAGTAGGAAAAGCATCAGTTCCACCTCTGCAAAAGGATGGGCAGCTTTTCTTCCCCACATTTCCATTTTTAAAGCCAGGATCCCTCGAAGGAAGGTGACCCTAAATCCATTATGCATTTAACTACCTTAAAGAAAAAAAAAAACAAACAAACAAAAAAACTGGGCAAAGTTTGGAAAAAGGAGGTCTTGCTAAATAATGTCACTTTTCCTCGGAAGAGCAGCAAGTCACTCCAGCTAGTCACATGGACCTGTGTGCAGAAGACCCCATTGCCTACATAGCCCTGAGGAGTTTAGTGAAAACTGTGGTGGGACTTACAGTGGTAGCCCTGCTCCACTGGGGCAGAGTCCTTCTCCTGGTCACCTTCCTGGTGCTTCTGGCTGCGGGGTCGGTGGTGCCGGTGGCTCTGCCTCACTGGTGGCATCCACATGCCCACAGACAGGTTCCGGTGGCCTGTGAAAAAGCAGCATTTGCAGCATTCTTGGTATTGTGGGTATGGTTCATGCAGAGGCCACGGCTAAATCAGTGCAGCCGTCCCAGAAGGAAACACCCATTTCTCTTAATTTTGTTTTCACTGGATCATCAGAGACCTCTCCTTTTTTTCCAAGCCTGTTTTACTCGAGCTTTGCAACAACAGAGAAATAACAAGTGATGGCTCCTGGTCATCGGAAAGTGCCCTGAATTATCGAACCTCTTCCCAAATTCCAGATTTGGCTCGACAACACTCAGACTTGCTCATTGAGCAGTGACAGAAGGTATTTATTTATAAAATCTTTGTATGGCAGAAGGTGAGAAGATCAAATCAGTCCCATGATAAATCACAGCCCCATGCCTGCAGCTGTCAAATCAGTCTCCTGACCTCTCCAAGCCCAGGAGCAGCTGCTGTGGGAAAACAAACCACGCATTATCCAACCCTGTGGCTAAAACTCACACCGTGGCCTCTGCAGGGGCTTTTCCCCTCCATTTGAGAAACTGTAATAGTAAACAATGTGCAAATAACTGTGCTGCTTCATTAAGAAGCACAGCACGTTTTCCTGCATGTGAGGGGACACTGAGCAAGGGACGTTGTAGGGTCTTTGTGCAGTGGGAAGAGGCGCTGGGCTGGTGGCCCCTCTCTGAGCATCTCAGCAGAGACTCACCTTCCAACTCCTCCATCTCATAGTGAATCCTGACAACACTGCTCACTCCTCCCCGGTCAATTACCGCCTCTTCGTCATGTCTCTGTTCAGCAACGAGAAGAAGGGAAAAGTTGGAGATGGGTGTGTAGAGCTCCCTTACGTCCCCCCAGCCATCACCCACCCCTGCCTCCACGTCAGTCCACGAGGCCTCTGGGTGCCTCCTCCTCCAGGCACGGCCCTAAAAACACAGACTTGGAGGAGCTTTTTCTTCCCATACCCAAATAAAACAGCACGTGGCATCACCTAGATTGTATACAATGTGAGTTGGGAAGTTACTTACTACAGGGGGAGAGGCCTGAGGGTTTCACACTAGAAAAACAAACCTCCTGCCTCGTTCTTGCAGTTCCTTTTTTTAAAAAAACAAACAAACAAACAAAAAAACAAAGGGATTTCCAATGTGGGCGAAACCCCCCAAACCCTGCACTTTTTCTCACAGCCTTTATCGAAAGGCAATAGCTGCAGGAATCACCAGATGGCACTTGGCCCCAGGACATGGCCACCAACAACCTCCACAGGCCCTGAGGAACCTGCAAGGGTGAAGCTTCATCTTCAGCCCAACGAGGCTCAGGCTTCCCTTGCTGCAAGTGCACTTTCCACCAAAACCACGGGTTTTATCCTTGCAAAAGCCAAAGACTGACAGCCAATGCTCTCCTCGCCTGAAATACCACTGCTCTCACTGCCTGAAGAGCAGCCGTGTCTTAAAAGCCAAAGGAGAACTACAGGAGCAAACAGAAATAACTCTTTTTGCTGCTCTTTACCCCTTGACACCTGGGCTGGGGAAGGGGGATGAGCAGGATTACTGTGTTCAAAGCCATAAAACCCCAGCCACGTCTCACACTTGAGTCACAACTGCGGCTTTGAAAGGGCCTCCTGGAGAACTTGGTGCATTTTTCCCCTCTTTAGGCTACACTTCTAATCACTATGCGTGTCTTAAATAGAAAGAAAATACATTGCTGCCACTTGGCTTCTCCTTCCTTGCCTCCATGGACAGTAACTAATCTGAGAAAACCAAAATCTGTTCACCCATACAAAGAAAAACTCTGCAATGCTCAAACACCCTTTAGTTTTCATCACTGTTCAAATTCTTTCTCTACTAAAGGCACAAAGTGGAAAGCTTGGGACTACTGAATTGCTGAGGTTCATCTCTGAAGCCTGCTGCTGTCATTACAGCAACCAAACACTATTCAAACAAAGGCATCTCCCCCTGCCCATCCTTTTGTGCCCTGGGGAAATGTCCATGGGGTTTTGGGGAGAGTTTTCCCACTGGTTGGGGGATGCTCAGCCCCTCGGCAGAGCCCAGGCCATGCTACCTGTAACTCTTCCAGCAGTGTCCTTTTGTAACTCTCATTCTGGTCCATCCTCACGTCAGCCACCACTTTTTGGGGATAACTGAACCTCCAGATCAGTCAGGGGGACAGATACCCCCAGGACACTGGAGCACCCCTCTCTGAGAGGAGCTCAGTGGCCCCCCGTGTGCACCATCTCCGGAGACACAGCCGTGGCCATTATGAAATCATCAACTGTGATGCGTAACCGGGTGGGTGTTGAAAGCCACGGCCCCCAAGACCCTTCCTGCTCGGAAGACTTAGTGGATGGGGAGGAACCAGCTCTGTTTTGAGCAAAAACCAGCCGGAATAGAGAAGCGGGGTATAAATGCCTGTGTCCCACCAAGGCGAAAGGCATAAGCAGCATTTGGGTGTATTTAAAAGCGCAAGATGCCAAAATAAAAGAGAGATGCAAACTGTTGGGAAAATACATGTTACAGGGCAGCACTGATTTTCTGAAAAAAATCAGGGCGTTTCAGGAATGTCTCGTTTTGGCACAGCCTCCATCCTTTTGGTGCTTCAAGAAATCCTTGTTAGCCAGACCAAGTCCCAGCCTGGTACGGAAATGTCCAGATAAGCAACAGGTTTTACTCTCATCGCTCCCTCCAGCTATCTCCAGCACCACTTTACTTTATGAACTGAGGTAATCTGTCATTTCCATCCTACAAATTCATTTGCTCTAACGAACTTCCTTCCCAGCACTGCTCAGCACAAAGGTTAACCGCTGGGCTTGACGTGAAAGGCGACACGGGTGTAAAATAACACGGCAAAGGAAGGTGACACTGAGGTCTAATCAGTTCAAATCCCATCATGATCCAAACTCACTCCTTTTTTATTATTTCGTATTGAAGCCTCAGGAGGAAAGTGGACAATTGGGCACCTCTGGCTCTGTGACACGATGCCCTGAGCATCGCGTTGCCCTTCCCCAGGCCCTTGCAGCACCCCAAAATCACATCAAGCCTTGCACGGAGATGCCACCGAAGGAAACGGCCCTACTCAGAACTCCCTTGGTCCTGATTAGGCCACTGCCATGGTCTTGGAGGGGTTATTTCACGTTTGATGCCGAGGGTGCTGAGGCCCTGTCACAGAGAGGTGGTAGGTGCCCCATTCCTGGAAACGTTCAAGGTCAGGCTGGATGGAGCTCTGAGCAACCTGCTCCCGCTGAAGGTGTCCCTGCTCACGACAGGGGCTTGCACTAGATAGACTTTAAAGGTCCCTTCCCCCCCCAACCGTCCTGTGACTCCAGGAACTGGTTCCTCGGTCTGCCCATCTGCTGGATTTGGCAAGTTGTGTGTTTGCAGCTTTGGTTTGATCAGAAAGTTGAGGCTCGGCCAGCTCCTGTGGCCTCAGGCTGCAGCTCCTTCAGCTGCCGGCACTGAGCTGCTTGTGCAAAATGACCCTGCGGAGAGAGAAACAGACTGCACGCAGCTGCTTGGGTAACGACCCCAGTCCCTGGTGCACGGGGGTTCTTGCACACCCACACCCGTTGCAGGGGGGTCTCTGAACACCCGTCTCCGTTGCACAGGGCTCCTTGCACGCCAGCAGCTGTTGCAGAGGGCGGTCCTTGCACACCCACACGCAGTGCCCCCCTGGAAGCTGCGTGGGAAGCGGAGGTGGCTTTGAGGCCTCTCAGCAGCAGCCAAAAAACCCTGGAGGTATCAGCCAGCGGCTGTGGCTCCGGGAGGGGCTGGAGAGTGGGGCTGGGGGGCTCCCAGGGGCTGGAGAATGGAGGCGGGGCTGGGAGAGTTGGAGATGGGGCCTGGGAGTTGCCTACCGGGGGAGCCCCGAGCCCGGGGGGGCTGCGAGCCGGGGGGGTCCCGCCCCTTTCCCTGCCCGCCCCAGGCCCCAGCCCGGGGTCCCGGCCGAAGCCCCTCGAGGAGCTGATTTGGCCGCCCCGAGGGACGGCTGGGAGGGCAGCCCCGAGCTGCTCGGCTGGGGCCTGGTTATTACTGCAAGAGTGGTGCTATTCAGTCGAAGCAGGGATTTGGGGGATAAGCAGCGTGCTGATTTTGTGTTAGCATTTGCAACTTAAATCATAAAACACTGTTTGTTCTCTTAACTCTTCAGAGTTAATGCATCATTATTAGTACAACAGGCAGCACGTGCCTGCGCAGCGTTTGAGGTTTTACTTGAAAATTACAGCTTTGGTTGCTTCGTGCACAGTGTAGCTCTTGCTTCTTGAATTTCACCCAGCAGCCATGCAGGTTCCCCCAGGTTTCTTGGTATTTTGCTCTTCTTCAACCTTCAGTTTCAGCAATCAAGAAAATGTTTTTTTTGTTTGAATAGTGTTTGGTTGCTGTAATGACAGCAACAGGCTTCAGAGATGAACCTCTGCAATTCAGTAGTCCCAAGCTTTCCACTTTGTGCCTTTAGTAGAGAAATAATTTGAACAGTGATGTTTCAATAATTTGAACAGTGAAAGGGTGTTTGAGCATTGCAGAGTTTTTCTTTGTATGGGTGAACAGATTTTGGTTTTCTCAGATTAGTTACTGTCCATGGAGGCAAGGAAGGAGAAGCCAAGTGGCAGCAATGTATTTTCTTTCTATTTAAGACACGCATAGTGATTAGAAGGGTAGCCTAAAGAGGGGAAAAATGCACCAAGTTCTCCAGGAGGCCCTTTCAAAGCCGCAGTTGTGACTCAAGTGTGAGACGTGGCTGGGGTTTTATGGCTTTGAACACAGTAATCCTGCTCACCCCCTTCCCCAGCCCAGGTGTCAAGGGGTAAAGAGCAGCAAAAAGAGTTATTTCTGTTTGCTCCTGTAGTTCTCCTTTGGCTTTTAAGACACGGCTGCTCTTCAGGCAGTGAGAGCAGTGGTATTTCAGGCGAGGAGAGCATTGGCTCTCAGTCTTTGGCTTTTGCAAGGATAAAACCCGTGGTTTTGGTGGAAAGTGCACTTGCAGCAAGGGAAACCTGAGCCTCGTTGGGCTGAAGATGAAGCTTCATCCTTGCAGGTTCCTCAGGGCCTGTGGAGGTTGTTTGTAATTTTCATGTAGTTTTTCTCTTGTTGCCCATTGACTGTAATGGGAAAATAAAAAAATAAAAGTCTCATTTTTCTCGCTGTGCTGCTTCAGTGTCTTTTGAAGGGGGCAGAGGGGTCGGGAGGCATCTTTGGAGCTTTTTAAGGGGCTTTTTGGAGGTGATGCAGGAGTGGGTAGCGCTGCTTTGGGGGAAATCCATCTCCCTGGGCTCTGGGGCAGGAATCCCTACGATTGCTGTTGGCTCAGGAGAAGGATGGGGGAAGAAAACGGGGTTTCAGGCCCACGGTGGCATCCTGCATCCTCCCTGGCAGGAGCTGCCCAGAGCAGGGGCTGTGTTGGATGAAATGTCCTGGGCAGAGTCAGTCAGGCCGTGCCCTACAGAGCCGTCAAGCTTTCCCTTCCCTCAGTCTGCCCCTCGCTCTGGGAACGGCCCTGGGGATGGAGGGCTGGGGGACGGAGCGCCGAGGGAAACGGCCACCTTCATCTGAGCTCTGCCCAAACCGCTAGGGAAGGAGGAGAGCAACTGATGTGGTGATCAGATGTTTAAAGGTAGAAATATTTATGCATGCTCTTCTCACAGAAAAAGAAAACACAAAAAACCCCAAACCCAACAACCAAAGCAACACACCTTTTCCCAAGAATTCAGATCACCAGCCTCAGTCCACATTCCCATCCATGACACACCCTGAAGGCTTTTCCCTTCCCACTTGTACCTGTGACCCTAAGGCTGAATAGGAGAACTAGCAGAAGTAGGTAACACAATGGATTGTAAAGGTGGCAAACTTTAAGCACTTGCACCTCTGACTCCAGTGTGCTTTTTGAGTGTAGCTGGTTTGAGTCCCTGGCTGTGCTAGGAAACAGGGAAACAGAGGAATAGTTCCAAAACAGAGAAATGGTCACGTCAGCAGCGAAAGATGATCTTAGCAAACATAGTTTGGATGAAGCTGCAAGGACCCAAAGGAACATCAAACAATATGGGAAAAGAAGAGCTTCCAGTAATCCGGATGACATACTGGGGCTACTTGTCCTGAAAGTTGTAAAAATCATCAAAAGGTCACAGGGTTAATAATCACCATGGGCAACTATTTGTAATCCATAAATTGGTATTTAGAATTTATTTATAATCTGACAGATGGGAAGAACCTTGATTTCAAGCTTGCTCTATAGCTAGCCGTCAAGTGCTCCATTTGCAAGAGTGACCTAGTAATCTGTACGCGCTTCGGAACAAATGAGGTGGACACCCTTCAGCTGTGTTCCCTTCAGTGTCTTCTCAAGGAAAACAAGAAGTCACTCCTGTCAGAGATTCTTGCTGTGTGCAGAGGAATATCCCTAACCCATGGAAAACTTTGTAAAACATACCAGAACCACCTGTCAGGTAACAAATTATCTCTATAGAATACCTCTCAAGTGGAAAAAATTGCTTGGCCGCCATTTGGGATATTTGGGGCATGTAGGAGGAGGACAGCAAAACCCCGTAAAAATGCAGAGACTCCTGCACATGCTCAGAAAGCGCTAGGTATGTATGGATCCCTGTCTGGAACGTGAAATGCAGAGAACGTTCAATACTGCTGATGTTCTTGTTCCTATCCAAGATACCCCTGGAAGAGACAATCTGCAGCCCAGTATACTGGCACATGGCAGAGGACAACAATTCCTCAGCTATATAAATTCCTTTACCTTTTAATCACCAAAATTACAAGTTCTGCTGTGTGTCTGACACCACTTAAATATGTCTGAAAAATGTCAGTATTTCTGAAGCTTAAAGAGACAGTCTAAGAGGAGTGTTAAAATTTATCCCCTGATAAAGTTATAAATCAAAGGAGATCTTGGAGCTGTGTAGAGGTATCACTCTAAAAAGAATCCCAGAGGGAATCTGATTATATGAAGAAACTAACCTTAAAAAAAAAAACCAAAAACAAACAAAAAAAAACAACCAACCAACCAACCAACCAAAACAACAAAACAAAACACCAACCACAAAACCCCCAAACCATCTCTTCAGTGAAAGCAATACTCACAGTATCACAATATTGGGTTTTCATATCCATGGGGTTGCATAGGCATCCTGACAGTTTGTTTCCAAGAGAAAGATCTTATAATTGATTTAAGGTCTAGGCAGATCCGTGTATGATTTTCTTTCTTTTCTTTACCCTCCACTCTAAACCAAGTAATGATATAGTTATTATTTGAGCTGCTGGTTTTTTTTTTTAGTTTGACTTGGTTTTACTACTTTATCATCCATCTGATAACAAAAATTACTTCAGTGTTACTGGTAGACAGCGTGGTGCTGCGTTCCTAAGGGTATAGCTTAACAATAGGAGCAGCCACTGCCCCCTGCAACATCCACAACCCCAATGCAAGAACCAAGGAAAACTGGGAGATGGGTTCTCTGCTGACTCTCTGATAAATACATGGTCCAGTCATGCTATTAGATATGGTAGGAGACACACAGCCTGGTGAAGCGCATGGTCTGGGCATCTCTATCCATCCCTCACTGGTGGGGCTGCTTTTCTGGGCTTGTTCCCTGTGCTGTCACTGCTGTCACCTCTTCCTTCCCAGTCTCGCAGTCCACAAGACGTGCCAGACTGCTGGGGAGGAAGCCAGTGGAGAAAGCAAGGATTTGAACACTCAGACTGGGAGGAACACATTTCAACCCTGGGACGTAAAGGCTGTTGGGCTTAGTTACTGGTGACTCATTTCCCACCAGGAAGCCACAGATCAGCATATTTCAAGCACTACTGATTCCTATTATCTGTTATGCTGAGAGAACGAATTGGAAGAAATTAAAAACACTCAAACCACAGTAAGAAAATAGCCAAATAACATATGGGGACATGAAATAAGCCAGTCTTACTACACTACACATAAACGCATGCTACAAGTAAAACAACACCTGAAATTAGAAGAGTATTTGGTAGTGTTTTTTACCCAACTGATCATCCACATTCATCTCCCAGTTGTCCACCGTGAGCAGAGAAGCGCTGCTCATAATCCTAACCTGCTGCTGTTTCTGAAAAAAAAAAAAAAAAAAAAAAAAAGACTGTAACCTTACTGGCACCCTGCAGTACACAGGGACAGAAAAATCTTCAGTATGCTAACTTCCAAAAGATACTACTTAGTCAAGCTCCTGGGGTCAGGGGGGCTGGGCTGTGGTGGTTTGGGTGTTTTGATGTTGTTTTGGATTTTTATCATAGCAGAATCTAGTGAGGAAAGACATTACAACAGAGAAAGAGACAGTAATTGTCTCTCACTAAATCCAGGAATTTATATTCTTTCTCTTGGATGATCCTCAAGAAGGTCATTCCTTTCAAGGGCTTCCACTCTCCTTCCTGATTAGACTAACAAGAGTACATCAGGGAAGAAAATTTCTATAATAGGTGATTTATGAAACTAATTTTTCAGATTGGGAAAAAAAAAGCCTCTGCAGATTAATATTGACAATAAAATGCTATTTCCAAACTTTCTCATAGCACTAACGCACTCTGGATGCTACTTCAGTAATTTTGCATATGAATTAATAAGCAGGATGCACTCTGTTATTATCGGTTTACAAACAGGTGTATTTTCTGCTTTGCAAAATAAAGTCTTTGCCATGTGAAAGATACAAGATAATAAAATTTCCTTTTTATTTCCCAAGTCTCATATTGGTTTGTGCTGGAGGATAAGCTTTAGTATTTCCACTATACAGAGAGAGAATTTAAGCCATAAGAGAAATATTATTTGCCTTAAGAATGTACTATGAGAACAGGCAGAATCGGGCACAAATTCTCCTGGTTTATTCTACAGCGTTCTGCCTACTGGACCATAAAGCAGCTTGTTATTTGACAATTTTTTATTTTTTAAGTACTGGGAAAACCCCCTTTCTCGCCAAGTCCCATCCAGAATTACTTTCTAAGCTACCACTCCTACTGCATTGGTTTATGTTGGTTGTGAGGGAAGGAGTTAATTTGGAAAGCACTGTTAAATTTAAAAATTGCCTAACATCATTGGACGAGATCCTAACCCTTTTCAGGTCCACATCAGAAATCCCACTGACTTCAGTAGGACCAGGATCAGACTCATTTTACACACACGCACAAAACTCACAGAAAAAGTATTCAATCAAGAATGCGGTCCTCATCTAGTACTCAAATGAAGCCATGACCCAAAACCTCCACAACTTTGGACAGTCTTACATGAAAAGAGGGAAATCCTATGAGAAGGATGCATACTAGAACTGATTATCAATAACGACAGCATCAGTTTACACTTAACTGTAACAGGGGAATCAGTATTACAGCCTATAAGCTTCTGACTTTTCTATTCACTAATATAATCATTCCTATTCACCTGCTCATACTTCTAGCTTTCAAATCCTTCCCAATAACTTGACACATCCACATGTGTTTAAAAGCTACTCTAATCTTCTCCTTTGGGGCTTTTCCTGGGTTCAGCTAGGACATGGTTAATTGTCACCAGGAGCTGGGAGGAGGCACAGCCAGGACAGGTGACCCCAAAGAGCCCAGGGGATATTCCCCACGTGCTGACATCGTGCCCAGTGTATAACTGGGAGAACTCGTGGGGCAGGGTTTGGCTGCTCTCAGCAAAACCCCCAGCACTGCACAAGTGAGAGAAGGAGACGTGCTGGGACTTGTCGGCCACAGGCCTTGGGAAGAATGAGACAAGAACTTCGTGTAGGAGGAACTGTAGGGGGGGCTGACTTGGTGTCTGTGTTAAGGTTGGGCGCTGTGGAACAGATGTCCTGTAACTGGGAGTTACAGAGAGCCCCGAGGAGGGGGGCGGTCCGGCGGGGCGGGGTGGGGGAGCGCTGCTCTGGGTCGCAGCCGGGGACGCTGCGGGGCGGGCTGGCCGGAGCCGCGCTGTGGGGGGCGAGGGGCTGAGCTCGGCGGGAGAGAACAGCTGTGTCCGCGCAGGGTGAGCTGCCTCCCCAGGGCATGCCGGGAGCTGTAGTCTTACGGCACCTGGGAGGTGGGCGGCTATGCTGTGCTTGCCCCAGGGCATGCCGGGAGCTGTAGTCTTACGGCACCGGGAGGTGGGCGGCTATGCTGTGCTTGCCCCAGGGCATGCCGGGAGCTGTAGTCTTACGGCACCGGGAGGTGGGCGGCTATGCTGTGCTTGCCCCAGGGCATGCCGGGAGCTGTAGTCTTCCAACTCGGTGGCGGACGGCCATGCTGTACTTGCCCAGGGGCATGCCGGGAGCAGTAGTTTTTGCGGACCCTGCTGTCAGACAGCTGCGGAGCTCCCTGTGGTGCGCGGCACCCCCGGCGCGGCTCGAGGCGTAGTTTTGGTGCCGGTTTTGTGTGTTTTCCTGCGAGTTCCCGGCTGCCCCCCAAAAATGCGGTCCTGCAGCCCCGGGGCCGCGCATGCGCGGTGGGGGCGCGCTCTGCCGCGATCGCTGCTGCCTCCGCGGTTACCGGCAACGTGACGCGGCGGTGCTTGCGGAGCGGCGCCGCCTCGCCCGGCGCTTCCTCCCGGTCAGGAGCCGCCGCCGCCGCCCCCCCGCCCCCCCGCCCGCGGTGCCGCCGGGCGCTCTGCGCGCCGATCGCGGTACTGCAGCCCGGCGTTCGCGCGCCGGCTCTGGCCCCTCCGGCGCAGGCGCGGTGCGCGGGAGAGAGAGGGGCGGGGCGGCGGCGGCGGGTGGCGGTGAGGCGAGCGGGCCCCTTGGGCGGGGGGGGGGTGTCTCCTGGGGGCGGGGGGGGCGGGAAGTTTAGATGTCTCTTGTCTTCTCCAGCACTGAACGGCCGTTCCTCAGTCATTCCGTCAGCTGAGCAGAGAGAGACCCATGTCCGAACAAGCAATCTTAACAGACAAAGGGCAGGTCTCAACCCCCAGGTGCAACATTTCCTGAGGCGGCGGGGGGGGGGCGGGGGCGCATCTGGTTTCCTTAGATCACAGGGAGCCCCCCAGACAAGGTGCAAGGGGGCCAGAGAGTTTGCCCAGAGATTTTGCAGGGTGTGTGGTCGGTGCTCAGGGCGTCCAGAGAGTTTACAGGGGGGCCAAAGGAGGTTGCATGGTGTTTTCTTGGGGTTCAGGGCACCCAGACAGAGCGCAGGGGTGCCAGACAGGGTGTATGGGGTCTGGTCAAGGTACAGAGGGACTGTCTGGGGTACAGGGGGTCTGGTTGGGACGCAGGGGTCTCAGACAGGGGGAAGGGTGTCTTGTTGGAGTGCAGGGGGTTCAGAGAGGTTTCAGGGGGTTCTGGTTGGGGTGCAGGAGCTCTGTTTGGGAAACACGGGACCCAGACAATTTACGGGGGTTTTGGTTGGGGTGCGGGGGTGTCGCGGATGAAAGTATGAGCACGGTGGTGATTTACCAACAAATCAAAATTTATTAATAACTAATAGTACTTGATCATTAATCGGTTTAAATACATACAAAATAATTCAGGAAAATGTTGTAATTAAAATAGCGACTTATCTACAGATTCTAAGATGACAAGATTCACTCTAACTTACTATATGTTATCTTAAATCAGTACATATATGTACACATATCTGTGCGCGCATACACAAAGACAGAAACATGCAGACACACATGGCAAAGTATTTGGATCCAATAAAATAAAGGATATACCCACACACCAATAGGCAGAGGAAGAGGAAGAGAAGCTAGCTCAAAGTAAAATCTCCCTCCTCGAGTTTAGAGCAAATCCTCACAATGTTAGCGGTCGCCATTGTGAAAGAACTTATCCACCCAAAGCAGATAAGCAGGCACTTCTTTATTCCAGCACTGGGGAAGACGGGGGATAACTCCGCCAAAGACGTGTTCGCCGACAGGTACAAAGCACAACATATTTATACACTTTTTCAGCAGTCATGGTTACATAAGATCAACAAAATTCATAAAGTTTAAGTTGACCTTAACAATGATTGGCTTTCAGTTACCTCACCTTACCTCTATTCCTATTCTACAGAAATCATTGGTCATCTTTACTGATGGATTTAAATAGAATGGGGGGAGGGCAATGATTAGCACATTCATGTTATTTCCTGGGAATTATTATCATATGCAGATGTCCCTAACGCATGCGTGGTTATACTGGACGGGGGTCCTCTGGTGGTCGTCGATAGTCTTCATCACTCTGTCGGCTGATTGAACTCCATCCCTGCGCATGCTCACTCCACCTTTGGTTAATGTTCACCTCTCCCTTGGCCGATCTTCCCAACCAAACCAGTTTTCCTCTGGTACCTATTGTTTCAAGTCAAGATCCATAACCAGTACCCAGTGTGTTAATTCAGAGTCCAGTAACGATTCTCATAGCGTTCAAGGCACAGAGCATACTAGTTGCTTAATCCTAAGGGCCTTAGTGTACTTTCTATTCTCAGAGCTACTGTAGCTTCATGTTAAGTCAAAATCATACTTTTAAACTAAAATCAAAATAATATTCTAATCGAAGCGTCCTTGACATTCTTCATGTATCAGCAGCTGCGAGCAGCTGCAGGCAAACCCTAGTGGGGCCCAGCATCAGCGAGGCAGCATCAGCCCTTAGAACAGGCTCTGATCGTACAACTGCTCGGGGGGCTCAGGACCCTTGTCTCTGAGCCATTCTCCAAAACCTGTCTAGCTGCTTCCTGTCACTGGGAACACACAAATGTTCAGCAGAGCCAGAATAGCACTTTTAGCCCCAAAGTGAAAACTTCTCACAGAAAGCACCTACACGGACGATCGTCGCTGTACAGCACTGTTTCCTCCAAACTACCATGCTGCACATAGCAATCCCTGTCTAGCTGCTTCCTTTCACTGGGAACACGCAAACATTCAGCAGAGCCAGAAGAGCGCTTTTAGGGTCACAGCGAACTTTTCACACACCATTCTCGACTGAAATTTGGTTTTCTTGATCAAGTTCTGCCGTCACTAATTGTTTTTAAACGTTGCTTGGATGGTTCTAGTTCAAAAATTTAGTTCTTCAGCAACATCTTACAGTTTAACACTCTTAGTAATTCATTAATTCTTTATGTTCTGTGGCATTACCAAAGCCTGAAGAGGAAAACTGATCGAAAATCCTGAAACAAAATCTAGAACTTAAATTATAACTTTCATGAAACAGTGAGTGGCTGTTTTCTGCACTGCATATGAGCTGCACCTTTGTGTCCATTAATTCTTGGCATTAGACTGACACGTGTCTGGTGGCCACCATAACCAAGTCTGCCTTCCTAGCTCACATCTCTTCATCCAGTTCTTCGGGAATGGTCAGAGAAGTATAATATGTTAGAAAGGTATAATTAAGATTTTGAAAGATTAATACCTGTGGTATTTAGTGAAATTGCCTTCTAGTGGAATGCTCATTATTACTTTGGTATAACATTTCTGCTGTTAAAATGGTAGTGCTTGTAAAAGTGCAAAATCAGTGTCAGACGTTTGGTTTATATACATTTTATACCAAAAAGAACCCCATGGGAGAAGCAATCAGGTCAGGTTTTTTTCGCCTGGAATTCTTATGTGTAAGTCTTTAAGTATTTCCATGTCTGGTGTAGTTAGGATCTGCTTGCTGGCTTTTGGCTAAGCTCTAAATAATTCTGTAGTCAAAAGAATCTGTTCAGGTTAATTGGAATTTAAACCACTACCTGGGTACCAAGCCCCAAAGCATGTTTTTTGAAAAGGTGAGAAACCTTTCTAGCAATTTCCTATATTTTTCTTTATTATTGAAACTCTTTATATTTAGGGGATTTCTTGGTAGAAGGCATCTTTGAACACAGCAGAACTTGGAGTCGATGTTTCTTGGATCACAGTTGGAATCCCCAAGTTTGGTACAGCAAGGGAGGTGTTATGTCATTTCAGCTGCATACCCCCCACTTAAAAACATACTTACTTTTTGCCTTTTACCAGTTGTGGAAGCAGATAAGCTCTCTACTACATGTTTGGCTGATGCTCTATGTGTTTCGATTAAAAGAAGCCCTGTAGCAACATGTGTTTGTCACCGGCAGAGGCCAAGTGTAACTTTAGGATACACTTGTGGGAACTTGTAGGAGCAGCCATCAAGATAACCGACAGGCAAGGACAGTGGAGCGTGAGTGTCACGTCAGCGGCTGCTGGTGGACTCTGGGCACCCTCTGTGTGAGCAAGTGCTGTGAAATTGCAGGGGAGTGGCTGATCTGTGGAGAAAGGGTAGAAGGTTGCCTAGTGGCTGGTAGTAATTTTAAGACTGATTTAATGCTTTTGCCATAATAACCGCAAGACTTAAGAAAGCAGCTTTGGTGTTTCATGCTTTCCCTGCTTTGAGACAAACAGAAGTTGTTTCGCAGCTTCCAGCATGTTTTCCTTTGAAGCAAATGAAATTAAAATCCAGAGAGACTTCATCTGGTATAGTTTTCTTTCCTGTGAAGTATATCTCTTATATAAACAGATTGAGACGCGTGTTCTATTGGAGTTGGGACTGCAAGATTTATACTAGAGAAGTGGCAGATCTCAAAACCAATATTATGTACATGATCAGCCTCATAAATACTGAGCTCAGGATTCTGACTCTGTGTTGCAGCTGTCAAGCATCTTTCTGAAATCAGGGCTGAAGAGCCAGCATGCCACTAGTGGGAGAAGAAAAGAGAGCAGCACGTGGAGTTGCACAGAGAATGAAACTGGTGAGTGTGGAAAATGAAAAAAGGGAAAGGTGGTCAACAAGTTGAAGGGGGAGAGTAGCGTAGTGCTTCTTTTGCAAGCTAAGTAGATGTGTTATTTGCCAACCGTGTATATTATCTACAAATCTAGGAATATAGGGAAATTGAAGGAAAAAAATAGTAATGTTACGTTTTTTAACAGGTGACAAAAAGGTAGATGAAAGTGCTGAGGGAATACCTACTTTAAAACTGATTTTTTAAAAATATTATCATATTGCTGGAGAATGTAGCATGTTTATCTGCTTGTCATGTCTAAAGTAGCATACTCTTCAAAACAGTAACAACATATCTCTCTTGAGTTTCTAACTGTTTTAAAAATGTATTTGGGCATTATTATAGTTTAAACAG